CAACGTTTAAATAATGGCAACTGGTTACTGGTTAAAGAGTGCCTTAATAATGACATGTATTAAAACCATTCAAACAGAACACAAAAGACTTTTCACTCTTACCCTTTTCTGTTAGCATTTAGTGAATAGAAAATTTGTTGGAACAATGAAGACCCTCCTGACTGTCATTACTGAAACCTGTACCAATGATTGTTAAGAAAGACAATTCAAAATGTAGGATCACAGTTTCTAGCCAATCTGTGAAAAGGCGAAGCTTTCGTTGGTTTTGCCCATTTATAATGTTAATATATACTGATGACTCTGTAATGGTCTCTGGACATGGCTGCGGCAGCATGCTTGTTGGTTTTCCCACTTTTGTCTGTTCTGTGATATTTTCTTGGACTCAGGCAGACTTGGCTCTGGCGGCATGGTTGTCTGTTTCCCACTTTTGCCTTTTTGAATATATGTCAAATAAAACTTTCTTTTTTGCTTTAAAAAAAAAGAGAAAGGCAAGTATTATCTTACATAATAAGTTCAGAAGAGAGTGGTTGCAGCGTTAGTTCAGCAGCTCAACAATGTCAGCAACGAGCCAGGCTCATTCCACCCTTCAGCTCTGCCGTCCTCTGCACATGGGCCTGCCTCTTAGGCTTGTCCCTTCTGGGTTTCAGGATGGCTTCTACATTTCAAGTCTTACATGAAGACACAACATCCAGCTGATAAAAATCACGTATCTCAGGATGTCATTTTGTATTAGAAATGAAAATCTCCCCGAGAATCCTCCCAACAAGTTTCCCGCAAGATTTGGTTACTTGCCAACATGCCACATCCTGCTGCAAAAGAGACTGGAGAAGTGAATATGTCTTGTGGGATTGAGCACTGCTGGTGAGGAAGAAGAAAGGGGTGGTGGGGGGAGTGGGTGGAGATTCCATAGACCACTGGCAGGGTCGGTCAAAAACTAATCGCAAAGAAGCGAGTAGTTAAACATCAACTGTGTCTGATGTCTACAATAGAAATCAACATTTAGGACGGGTAATTAATTGCATATCTCTAACCATCCGATGTGACAAGGGACTGGTTTTCATTGTGTTCTCTACTGCAGAAACTGTGATGGTGCCTTTATGTATTACCTCATTTAATCTTCACTAGAGTTTTTCTGGAAAGATGTTATTTTCTCCATTTCATTGATGAAGATAATGTGCACAAAGAGGTTAAATTAGATGCCACAGCACTCACAATTCATAAATTTCGGAAGCTGGATTCTCATACAAGTGTATATTGCCCCAAAACCTGAGCTCTTGGTGCATTTAAGGGTGGCCTGGTGTCATCATAGAAATTGTATTGCGCTAAGTAAAATAATTGATTTATGGCCAAAAAAGTGTGATTCAGTTGCTCTCAGGGTAGCCTAGACTTAACTCAAAGCGATTTAAAATATGTACCAGGAATGATGTATTTACCAGTCTTCCCTGTAGCAACTGCATTCTTGCTGATTGATCTATTCTAGACCACACTGTTGTGGTATGTTTAACCTGGAATATACTTGTAGGCATAAGAGACAAGTACCTAGCACCTAACAGGTACTCACAGGTAGTACATACAAGCGTAGGAAAAACATACAGTAAAAGGTATTTCTAATATTCAGATCAAGTTTCATTTTTATCTTCTTTGTACTTTAGAACAGATGAAGTCTCATCTGGGTCACAGCATATTTCTGATTTGCAGATATTACAGATGAGTGTAAAAAATATCAAAGCAGTCTTTGGTTTTAATGTCTGGATTTTTAAGTCTTTCAAAATGCACAGCAGGAGTAGGTAGGTCTAGATATTTTTTCTTTTTCCTAAAGCAGGTTCCAATTTGTAAAAGTGTGACTCTGGAGTTCTTTCTTTGTGCCTCTGTCGTTTAAGGCGTGGGAATGACCCTGTACCTCTTTTATCTAAATCAGATTAGGTGACTGCAGCCCACTGTCTAGGTTACGGTAATTTCCTATATGCATCTTCAACCAAGTAAAACGCTGTGTCTTCTTCCTGGAAAACATGAACCCTAGCACAGCGAGGAAAAGAAAGGCTATTGGTTTGGGCCAATTAAAAATGAGACTTCAGGAGGTGGCAGGAGGTGTTCCGGCTTCTCTTACCTGCCAGGCAGTCCACACCTGCTTCTCCAGCTCATTTCAGCACTCAGGGCAAAAGCAGCACCAGGGAGAAAAATGACAGGCTGGGTGATGGTCTCATTGGCCCTTCTCTGTGGGTTCAGCTACTCTGACTTCGAAAAAGACTGTTGGCTCCTTAGGATTTTCCCTTCTGTATTCCAGAAAATATTGCTTTATGCATTTAAGTGGGTCAGGACTCTGAGCTTAGCCACAAGGAAAAAAAAAAAGTATTAAAAAAAGAAAAGTTAAGGAAATTAAGGCTGAAAAAAGTCATGAAATAAGCAATGTGCTAGGTCATGTACTTTCCCCTGTCTGTGCTTGGTTCTGTTTACTGCTGGCTTTAAGAAGCAGAACCATAGGTTTTTTCCACACTTCCTTGGGGGAGTTTAGACTTGAAGACCTTGAATTGGGACCCAAAAGGTAACAAGATTCTGCCACTGGGCTGTAAAACTGTGAGGGCACAGAGTGAATAAAGGGTTATAAACTCAGAGCTGTGGAGTGTCAGCTTGGAAAAGGGGCCTGCTTCCTCCTGGGACCTTCAGGGCTGAGACTGCATTTTAGCCACATCACCGTTGGGCACAGTTAGGAGCTACTCACTTGATCCCAGGAGCTCTGAACAGCTGTGGTGGAGGTCGGCTTCCGTGCGTTCATTGTGAGTCTATAAGGGTCTGACGCCTCTTCTGCACCCCAGCTCCCCGAGCCCTTGTGTGCCAGGATTATCAGATTGTGGACACTCCCCCTACTCACCTTGAAAAGGTCAGTTTCAAGAAGAAAATTGTAGTCTTTGGAGGCTACAGTGAGGAAAAGGGGCTACAGATAAAGGCAAGAAGGCAGGAACTCCAAAAAGAATTCTCAAGAGGTTTATTACAGGTTGAACGTATCACAAGGCTATAGTTCAGATGTTATCAAACAAGAAGAATGTGGGCTGTACATGGGGGTGGAGGGTAGGGTGCAGGCTGAGATTAAGTCAGGCATTCTTGGTGAATCTTTTAAATTGGTTGTACACCACTCTCAGAGCAGTAAATTGGGGCTGTGATGACCCCCACTGTGAATGAGGAAAGTGAACCGCAAAGGGGTTGAGTGAGGGTCACTAGCAAGTAGATTATGGAGCCAGGACTCCCATCCAGGCTTGTCTGACTCCAAAGGACGTGTTTGCACAGTGTCTCCATTGGGTTTCTGCTTTGAAAAGGGTATTTATATTTTATTTGTATATGAGGTTGAATATTTCATCTGCTTTTGGCATCTTCTGGGTGTCTTGCTTCAGTATACTTCTGACCCTCCAAATTGCAGTGTGTACCTTATCTTTAGGGTCTTCAACCTGTCTTCCCCACAGTAATTGCTGAAGTGTAAGAAATTAGAAAGGGGACCCTACCAGCTTCATGCTAGCTTTCCTGTGCGGCTAATGTTCCATAGATTACTTCCTTCCTCATGGACTACTTGCTTATAATCATGCCATTTTAGTTGTTGGCCTTTCTTCCTGTTGGAAATAGAGAGTTTAAATGAAAATGGCTTCAATTTCCTTTTCCAGAGACTAAACATTGCTTTTTGCTTGATCCACTGCCATCACCACCAACCTGTACCACTCAGGACACCATCATCACTACCCTGGATTTGATTTCTGCAGTAACCTAACTGATCTCCCTGCCTCCTCCCTTGCCCCTCACAGTCTGTTCTCAACATGCACCGATAGTTTTCTTCTTAAAATATAATGCAGTTTATATCACTCCTTTGCTCAATACCCTACATAGCTCCTCATGTCACTCCGAGTTAAAGTGAAAGGACGTGGTGATCTATCAGGCCTCAAGATCTTACCCTTCCTCGCCTCGCTGACTTTGTTTTCTGCCACTCTCCTCTCTGCTCAGCCTGCTGCAGCCACACTACCCTTATTGCTTTTCCTGAAACACATCAGATGTGCTTCTGCCTAAAGACTTTTGCACTAGCTCCTTCCCAACCCCTTCCTTCTTTCAAGCCCCTACTTGGTTTTCAGTTTCCAAGTGAAAGCCAGCTTGAAAACCCCAGCTAATACTGTAAACTGATGCCCACCATACCCTCTCCCCAGCACTTCTGGTCCCCCTTACATTGCTCTTTTTCTTTTTTCCAAAAGCACACATTACCTTTTTTTTTTTTTTAATTTTATTCCCATACAAATATTTATACATACACTGTTATGTGACCCTAGTTGCTCTCCCTGTACTGTGACAGCATACTCCTCCTTTCTACCCCTGATTCCCCATGTCCATTCAACCAGCTCCTAACCCTCTCTGCCTTCCCATCTCACCTCTGGACAGAAGCTGCCCATTTAGTCTCTCGTATCTACTGAGCTAAGAGGCACTCTCCTCACGAGTATCACTTTATGCCCACAGTTCGGTCCAATCCCTGTCTGAAGGGTTGGCCTTGGAAATTTTTTAGTTCTGGGCTGATAGAGAATCCAGGGGCCATGCTTTCCAGGGTACCCCTAGTCTCAGTCAGACCATTAAGTCTGGTCTTACTAGAATTTGAGTTCTGCACCCCACCTTTCTCCTGCTCCATCCAGGACTCTCTGTTATGTTCCCTGTCAGGGTGATCATTGGTGGTAGCCGGGCACCATCTAGTTCTTCTGGTCTCAGGCTGATGAAGTCTCTGGTTTATGTGACCCTTTCTGTCTCTTGGGCTACTACTTTCCTTGAGTCTTTGGTGTTCTTCATTTTCCTATATTCCAGGTGGTTGGGACCAATTGATGCATCTTAGATGGCCGCTTGCAAGGTTTTAAAACCTCAGGTGCCACTCACCAAAGCAGGATGCAGAACATTTTCTTAATAAGCTTTGTTAAGCCAGTTGACCTAGATGTCCCCTGAAAGCATGGTCCCCAGACTCCTACCCCTGCTACTCTGTCCCTCAAAGTATTTGATTGTACTCAGGTAACTTCTTAGCTTTGGTTTAGTCCAGTTGCAAAAGCACACATTACCTTCTAACTTACTGTAAGATTTCCTTGTTTATTATGCTTATTGTTTATCTATCTCTCCTTTCTAGAATATAAACTCCAAAAGGGCAGAAATCTTTGCCTCTTGTGTTCGCTGATATGTCCCATGTACCTAGAACAGTGCCTAGCATATCCTTGGTGCTCAATTCATATTTGTTGAATGAATGTATGATTGAATTATTCAATGGATCTGTATTAAAAGAATCAAATGAACTACCTGTAAGTTCTTGAAGGGAGACCCTGGGTGGTGCAAATGGTTATCACGCTTGGCTGCTGACTGAAAGATTGGAGGTTCAGACCCGGAGGTGCTTCAGAAGAAGGACCTGGAAGTCTGCTTCCAAAAAAGCAGCCACTGAAAACCCTATAGAGCACAGTTCTACTCTGATACACATGGGGTTGCCATGAATCAGAATTGACTCAATGGCAACTGGTTTTTAAGTTCTTGAAGGCTGGTGCATTTGAGGACTACATTTTAATACAGATCTAGAGCCAAGTATTTACTAAGCTTCTGTATTTGATGGGGAGTATACAGTAGGCTTAAAGATGATTGTCTCTCCGTTCATTCATTCTTTCATTTATTCATTCAACAGATATATATTGAGTGCCTACTAGTAGCAGGCACTGTTCTAAATCTGGGGTAGAAGACAAGTAATAACAAAAAAATGTTCCAGGTACCGGGTCCCACGGTTCCAGATCCTCTGAATTTTGTTTTTTTAAGAGAAGCTAGAAATCGGAATTTTTACGTGAAAGCTCCTGATTTTTAAATGTTGATAACTAATTTAAAAGCTGAAGTTTACTGTGACAACCAAATTAAACATGTAGGGCAGCCAAAGATTGCCCAGGGGCTGTAGTTTATAGTATCTGGCTTACATTCTAGCCTGAGGGATGGTGTGGTATTGACTCTGAACTTTAGAGAAGAAAAATCATTGTCGGCTGAAGAAATCTGAAATTTCTAGGTGGGTATGTGGGGTCTTATTGGCTGGGCAGGAATTATGGGAGCTGAATGAAGGGAAGGAGGAAGGAGTGTATTTGTCACTTCCAGTACCTGAGGCAAGGGCGCAGAGGTGGGCAGACAGGATGCTGAGGGTGAGGAGGAGTGATGGAGCATGAGTGTTTCCTGATCAGAACTGGTAATAGTCTCCCATGGACTACACCGAATCATCCTGTCTGGGTTAAACTTACAGCATGAGTCAGGATACAGGTCTGCCTGCTTAAACAAAGATGCAAAGTATTAGACAATAGTTCTACCATTGGGTTGCCATGAGTCAGAATCAACTTGACGGCAACTAACAACAACAGAGATTCGTCACTCTCACAATAGTTTGAGAGTGAGCAAACTAGGATGCTCCTTTTCTCTTCTTGCTTTACCATTGCTCCTCCTCGTGATTCAAGATGGCTCCCCTCCACGTCAGCATCCCAGTTGGTAGGAAGGGAAGGGGTGGGGTGATGACTGCCACGCCCCTTCCTTTAAAGGGTACCATCCAGACTTTGACCTCATACTTCTGCTCACACACCTCACACTTCTGCTCACACGCCATTGGCCAGAACTCAGTCACATGGCCACACTGACTCCAAGAAAGGCTGGGGAATGGAGGTTTTAGCTGGGAGGCTACGTATCAGCTAAAAATGATATTTTTATATCAGAAACAAAGAATGGGTATTGTGAAATATATAGCAGTCTGCTGCACTTGCTCGTTGTGGATCTTAGGATCTGTTAGGAAAGTTATCTCTAACTGTACCCTCAGTTAAGATTTTCTAATTATTTTAGCAAGACCTGGGTAACACAAATGGAAGGTGATACTTGAAGTTCATGACATGAAGAAATACATGGAAGTTGCACAGAGTTCCTGGAGTAGCATCTGGTTGCTGGTGTTGCTGGTGTCGTGGTGGAGCTGCAGACTTTCCTGCTCATCAGTTACAGCAGGGCTGTCTTCACCAGACCAGTGGTGCGGAGTGATTTTGGGTAATGTTCCTGGATATGCAGCCTTCAGGCCCAACTTCTCTGGCTGTCATGGAAACTTGTGATCTTTTCAGTATCCTTCTTTGAATTCAAGAGCGGGTGCCTTTGCTTGCAGCTAAGAATCCTGCTTGATACATTCCCAAATGCTGCATCTCTAAAAGCTGTGTCTCTCCAAGAATTGTTTGAAAACCTCATGTCTCAAAATCGCCTGGACTGCTTCTTAAAAATGCCTATTTATGGATTCAAAATCAATGGATTCAGAATCTTTGTGGGTGAGTCCCAGGAATCTGTTTTATACAGGTTTTAGGTATATATGATTTTCTTTTTTTTTTTTTGGTACGGTAAAATTTAAGAACCACTGTTTTCATGTTTCCAGTTTTTAAAGTTATTTGCCGATTGTGTAGGGATCTGAGTAACTACTAAGGAAAGTAATTCTGGGTTTTTACAAGACCTGAATAAATGACTGCCTAGTATTTGCTCGTCCTCCTTCTCCTTCCCCCACACACTCCATGAACCTTTGTTTTGTCTCCTTAACTCTTTTAAGGTCTTTTTTCTTTTTTTCTGGTCTGTGACTTCTCATTGAAAAATGGTAATTCCCCATATGGGATTGCCTTCATTCAGTAGTGCCAGAACTGTTAACTGGGGTTTAAACTAAACTGCGACAGTGGTGCTCTCTAAGTCATTGCTTTCTTGGGTATTTCTGTAACCTGCAGGCTTGGATCTCAATGTTACTCCAGGGATCTATGGAAAGAGTGAAAGGGAAAGACTGAGACACCCTGGGTGCCTTGTCTTGAAGGGTTTTTCAGCCAAGTTTTAGGCCAGAAATAGCAAAGAAGGGTTCACTTGATCGATGTATGTTCATGTCTGTCTGCATTGCACATGCAGACAGGCTGTGCCTCAAACTTCCAGGCACCCATTAGACTTCTAGGAATGAGATATACACCCACTGGCATCAACCATTCTATGGGGGCTGTGTTCATCAGTGATCGAGCTAGACACGCGAGACACACAGTGTTGGCAAAGTGAAAGTCATTATTGTTATTTATTGAAAGCAAACATTAAACAATAACAACAGATTCCCAAAGGCGAAACACTTACCCTTCCCCAAATTACCCATGTCCATTCTTATGTTGCTAGGCAGGTGCGCTGTGGTTCAAGTGGGATGCAGTGTTCAGTCACTGCTGCCTCCGGCTACCACTACGCTGCTGGGGGCTGGGGAGCCGCGTGACTCCTGAAGCTTCTGCTCTGCTGCTGGGCCTCAGCTGGGCCTTGCTGCTGGCTGGAAGACTCCTGCACAGGATCTCCCGAGCCTCTACTGCTGAGTCCTTCCGAAGCTCTGCTCTCATCTCCCACCACGCTACTCCAGGGTTCTCTTGCTGGCATGCCACCCAGGCTCCTGCTACCCAAGGGGGAAGGTGTGCAACACCTGCACGGGGCACACTCAGGCCTCTCTTGCCCTGAACAAGCAAGTGTTAGAACTCTTTCAGCTCCTCTGGCAAGCCTTCTGCCAAAAGGCACTCACCTCTTGCTCTGTGGGCTGGGCAGACTAATCGCCGCTGTCTCTCGCCATCTTCATTCACTCTTTCTTCTGGGTCTAGGAGGTTCTCGTTGCAGAGCCCCCAGGTCCTTGTTCTAAAGGATGTGCTCCATTCTAGACTCTTCTTTTTTTTTTTTCTTTTCAGTGTGCTTTATTCTCTTTCATCAGAGGGCAGGACTGACCCTGGATGTGTGTTTCACACAGGCTTACCTTGGTGACCTGATGCCTTGCTGCCTTTAACAAAATCCAGTTACTCCTGAGAATATCAGTTAGGCTCCTCCATCACACTAATTAGAATGTCTTCTAAATGTTACCTTAAGCTTATCAACAGGCAAATTGGGAAAATCTGGAGGTGTGAGGTTATTGTGTTTTTATTTATGTATATTTTTATTGTGCTTTTATTTATGTATATTTTTATTGTGCTTTAGGTGAAAGTGTACAGCTCCAGTTGATTTCTCATATAAAAATTTACACACATGTTGTTTTGTGACATTAGTTGCAATCCCCACAATGTGACAGCACACTCCTCCTTTCTGCCCCAGGTTCCCTGTGTCCATTCAACCAGCTCCTGTCCCTTCCTGCCGCCTCATCCTGCCTCCAGACAGGAGCCGCCCATTTGTTCCAGACTCTTCTTCTTGATGGTAGTGCAGTACCCCCAACCTCTGTGGGATTGGCTCTTTTAGGCCTAGCAGGATAGCAAAACCAACCAATCCCTGTGGTAGTCTACAGTCAGCTTATTTGCATAGTCACAGTCCACTCCCTGCAAGAGTTTTTACACACCTTATCTGCATAGAAACTATGCCTAGAAGGGCCATATCACAGCAGTTTACTGTGCTGCTGTCTACTTCTGAGATTTCTAGAATCATGGAATGTGTGGAAAGAATGTAGCTTAACCCCCTTATTTCACTAATGAAGAACTGAGAGAAGATACCTGTCTAAAGTCACATAATTAATGAGTAGGGTACAAAGACCAGAATAAATTTAGAAGAAAAGAGGAGTGGTGATGCAGAGATTGGCCTAAACTAGCATAAAAAGGAAGGGGACTAACATTTATTGAGTGACTGACTTTGGGTACATTGACTTAACTTCTTTGAGCCTTAATTTCTTCAACTGCAAAATAAAGATTCTAATAACAGCTAACACTTCTATAATCTTGAAAGTCCCTGGGTGGGGCAAATAGTTTACACTTGGCTACTAACCGAAAGGTTGGCAGTTCAAATCCACCCATTGGTGCCGTGGAGCACCTGATCATCTACTTCCATAAGATAACAGCCACTGAAAACCCTATGGAGCGCAGTTCTACTCTGAAACATGCGGGGTCACCATGAGTTGGGTTAGATTCAATGGCAACAAGTATATAATATTGGCTATGTACTAGGAACTATTCTAAGTACTTTATATGGTGACTCATTTAATCCTTGTCACAGCCACATGATGTAATAATAATAATAAATTCTATTATTTCCACATTTTTCAGATGCACAAGGTTTCATAACTCATAGCTGCAGTCACACACAGCTAGTGTGTTAGCTTTCAATTACTGCATTACAAATTGCCACACCTTAAAGCAACATACTTTTGTTATCTCACAGTTTTGTGGGTCAGGAGTCTGGGCACAGTTTACCTGGGTCCTCTGCTCAGGGCCTTACCAGACTACAGTGAACAAGTCAGCTGGAGCCGTCATCTCATCTGAGACTCAAGGTCCTGTTCCAAGCTCACCTGGTTGTTAGCAGAATTAATTTCCTTGCAGCTGTATATCTCATGGTGATTTGCTTCTTCAAGGCCAGCAGGAGAGTGTCTTCCTCTTTTAAAGGGCACACCTGATTAGGTCAGGCCCACTTGGGATAATTTCCCTTTCGATGAACTTAAAGTCAACTGATTAGGGACCTTAATACATGTGTAAAATCTCTTCATCTTTGCCATATAACATAACATTTATTATAGTATTAATATCTCATCACTTTTGGCATATTCTATTGTTTAGATATAAGCTACAGCTTCCACCCACACTCAAGGGAAGGGGATTACATAAAGCTGTGGGTACATACAAGAGGTGGGCATCACAGGGGCCGTCTTGGATTTCTGCTTACCAAGCCAGTACATGCTAAACTTAGTTTAAACCCGGACTATCTGGCTACTGAGTCCATGCTCTTAATCAGTATGATATTCTTTATCCCTTCGATGAAAGTAAACCTACTTTATAACCTTATATAGAGTTCTAAGTAAGGTAACACCCAAGCACACCCACATTGGGTGCTAGTCAAATATTAATTCCATTCCTACCTGTACTTTTAAAAGTCTGCTTCAAGAAGCCAAAACCATCTGCAGTTTTGTACTTTCAGGAAGAGATTTCCAACAGTCTCTCTAAAAACTCAGGTTGAAATATATAAATTATTATTATTTGTTCATATTCTTCTGAGACAGAAGTAACCCTGGGCTTTGGGATTAGAGACTTGGGTTCTAACACTAGCTCTGCTTTTTCTCTTTGAAACAGATGAAGTGATTGAGAAGAAACAGTGAACACCTTCATTTGTAGACAGGAAAACATGGATCAGCCGTTTACTGTGAATTCTCTGGTAGGTAGCACCAACTGATATTTTATTTTATTGTTATACTTTAGATGAAGGTTTAAAGAACAATAGTTTCTCGTTAAACAGTACCCATATTATTTCATGACAATGGGTAACAACCCCACGACACGTCAACACTGTACTTTCTCAACCTTGGGTTCCCTGTTATCAGCTTTCCTGTCCCCTCCTGCTTTCTAGTCCTTGTCCCTGGACTTTTGTGCCCTGTTAGTCTCGTTTTGTTTTATGGGGCTGCCTAATCTTTGGCTGAACGGTGAACCTCCGGAGTAACTTCATTACTGAGCTAAAAGGGTGTCCGGGGGCCAACTGATGTTTTAAATATGGTTGAAAAACCCCAAAAGAAGAACAGAAACATACCAAATGTGACATGAGTCATAATTACTTCAAGAAGTTTAACATTTATGGTTTTTCATCCATCTGTGTGGTTGCCTCCTTTGAGGAAGTGACTAATAAAGCCATCTTCACTAAAATTAAAAATAAGTATGTTTTTTCCACAAAAGTTTGAATTTTTAATTTGTCTGGCTAGATTCCAGGAGTTCTATGGTAGAACACTGGAGAAAAGAATCTCAGTGCTGACATTGTAGCAGGTACTTTAAGCCTCTCTGTGCCTCAGTTTCTCTACAGATGAAAATTGGAGGCTTGCTTTGTGTGCTAATTATTGAGGAAAAAATATATATTTAATACCTAGATGTTGCTTTGGAATGCTTGTTGTAAATATAGGCATACTTGAAACTCTTGTTATTCTCAGTTTTTCCCTTACTGCCCGACACCACGCACACTTTCTTTAGCTACAGCTTAGAAGAAACTGTGTACTGGAGAGGAAGTTAACAGGGGCCTTGGGATTGGATGGACTTTTTTTCTTTTTTTAATTGTGGTAAAAATAAATATAACAAAACATTAGCCAGTTTAGCAATTTTTACATGTCCAATTCAGTGACATTGATTACATTTATCAAGTTGTGCCATCTTTACCAACTCTCTAGCTCATTCTGTGTCCTAATTCTGTCACTGAGGTGAATACGGCACATTATATAACTTCCATGGCCTTGTTTTTATACCTTGTGACTTACGACAACTGGAAACTAGATTTAATGTCACCAGCCTATTATGAGGCTCAGTAAGTGGAAGCTGTCATTACCATTCCCTTCCTCCAAACTACCCTGCCCCACCCCACTCAGTGCAACCCTGAAAGGGTAGCTATGTGAGTATATTGGCTGTCCCAGACACACAAACCATGGCACGAGGACATAAAGGGATAGAGGTCTGGTTTTGCTCTCAAACAGGTTATGATCTAATGTCCGCTCTGTGCCAAGACAGTTTTTCCATAGGAGCTCTGTCGTCTTGCAGAGTATATCTGAGGAGTGGAGAATTGCAGGAACTTGTTCACTTTCTGAACCAGGTTGTCAGTCCACTGTGGCACAGTAAAGGCTGCCCCATTTCTACCTCTGCAGAGGAAGAAATTATCCTTATGCAGTTATCTAGTGTGTTTTTCTTGACTATTATATAGGAATACTTAAAATAATGTATCAGTGGCTTGCTTTTCTAGGGCCCACAGGAGAATATCTCCCTCTTTTAAAAGGCTTGCATGAGTAGGTCAGGCCCACTCAGAAAAATAATTAAGTAGGTAAAAATAATGTATTGTAAATTATTGTAAAATAAATTATTTTAGTTTATTGTACATGTCAGTGGGAACATGAACACTAAGCTTTTTAATGCAAAAATTTGTGTTTTCATCCAAGAAGCTCACATTCAAAGATATATAGATATAGATAGGTATATAGATGTATGCTCTTGTTGTATTGTTAGACTGTGGCCTTTTGGAAGCAGATCGCCAGGCCTGTCTTCTAAGGCTAGTAGTTGAGTACTTAACCATTTGTGCCACAAGGGACTCCTAGATTGATATGTAGATAGATAGATAGATAGATACAGATTTAGATATATTTGAATGTGATCTTATATATATATACATATATATGTGTGTATATATGTATATACATACACACACATATATACACACACACAGACTGATGAAGACTTAGGTTGTTTCCAAGTTTATCTCTGAAGTCAGTTTTAAATTTGGGCCATTCAATAAAGAAAAATCTTATTTAAATCTTCAGATAAAAAGGTAATCTACATATTGTCATATTGCTCCCTTTTCTCTCTTCCTCAATTCATTCTTTCACTTACTTGATAAATACTTATTGATTATGTGTGTCTCAGGGAATGTGCTACATCCTAGGGAAGAAATGAATAGAAAATTATTCCTCTTCTTCAAGAAGTTCATGAGGGGTGGGAAACACTTGTAGACAGATAATTATAATTCATTGTGGGCAGTATAGTAATAGTTGTCATTGTTGAGTTGCTGTTGAGTCAGTTCTGACTCATGGTGACCCCATGTAGTATCACAAATTATATTGTGTACATACAGGATTCTGGAAGCCTCCTGTAGAGAATTCCTTAATTTTCATAGGATTTTTTTCCATTTATTTTCGGTATCATAGAAGCATTTATCTGTGATTGATTGAATACCAGTATTTTCATTTAGGACTTGTGAGTTTTACAGGTGCATGGTAAACGTAGGAGGTATTGCTGAGGTGTCTGAGACATCTCAGCTGGAAAAGACCACATATACTCAGGCCTGAGGCTCAGAGTTCACAAGCTCCAATTCCTGGCTCTGACGTGGAGAAATCTCCAGTAGCTTCTCTGAAATTGGAGAGTCAGAGAATTAGAAGAGCAAAACAGGATTTGAAGAGAAAAAAAAAGTGCTTTAATATGAGATGAAGTCTCTTAGAAAGGGCCTGAGTGTTGATGTTGCCAGTTACACCTCTTTGCTCTCAGAACTCTGGACCAACTGAGAAACTGAGAAAGATATAAGACACCAAACCAAAAACAAAACAAAACAAAACAAATTCATTGCCATCAAGTCAATCCAACTCATGGCTACATGGTAAAAGAGTTGAACTGCTCCACAGAGTTTTTTAGCTGTAATCTTTACAGAAGCGGATCAACAGGTAAGGATCAAAACGGGGTGTAAACTTTATTCCTGGTCAAGGATCAAAACGGAGTGTAAACTTTATTCCTGGTCATTTGGACCTGGATAACATGGGAGACTGAAAGCTTTTCTTATCTCTTCTGCTCCAAATTGAACTGGCTCACCCACCCAGTCACAGTGGCTAGACACCTTCAGGGCAAGGAAGCCAAGGCCCTGTGAGCATCCTTGTGGAGGAAGAAATAGGAGGAGGAGTCACCTACTTAGCTCGTGGCCAGGTCAAAAGAGAAGTGTAAGAGGCATGGCCTGCTTCTGAGTTAATGGTGTCTTGAGAAACATGTTTATTGCTCTCTGGGTATATATTAAACCTTTAGGAGTAGGAGTCAATTCAGGTCTCCTTACCTGCAATAAAATTTCCATCCAAGTAGACCAGATGACACTGGAGTTAACTCCAAATATCTAATTCATTGTACCCTGCCCCTGAAGGTTGGCTCAGTAACTTGTGGCCAGATTAAACTATGTGTACCTTGATTTCTTTTATAGCTTTCTACAGACCTTATTCAAGTGATCTGTTCACACTCTAGTCAGACTTACCACATGCCTTTAACTAACAGAATAGGACTCAGGAAGCTAAGTTAGCTCTGGGCTAACTCCATTCTTGGAGGATCAGTGATAATTGTTGTTGTTGTTACTTCCTGTCCAGTGCATTCTGACTCGAGGTGACCCTGTGTGTGCAGAGTAGGACTGCTCCATAGGATTTTTAAGGCTGCGATGTTTTGGAAGCAGATTGGCAGGCCTGTCTTCCAAGGCGCTTCTGGATGGGTTCAAACCACCAACCTTTTGGCTAGTAGTTCAGTCATTAACTGTTTGCACTACCCCAAAATCAAAAAACGAAACCCACTGCCATTGAGTCGATTCCGACTTCTAGCAACCCTGTAGGACAGAGTAGAACTGCCCCCATATGGTTTCCAAGGCCTTTCCGAAGCAGACTGCCACATCTTTCTTCCACAGAGTGGCTGGTAGGTTAGCCACCAACCTTTCAGTTTGGTTATCAGCTGAGCACTTAACCACTGGGCAACCAGGGCTCCTTTTCACTACCCAGAGACTCCTCAAATGATGATAGTCTAAAGCAGTGCTTCTCAAACTTTAGCATGCATAAGTACCTCCTGGAGCACTAGTTAAAACATAGATTCCTGGGCCAACCACCAGAGGTTCTGGTTCTGAAGATCTGAGGTGGGAACTGTTAGAAATTTGCATTTTTAAGAAACTCCCAGGTGATGCTGATGCTGCAGGTGCGTGGACCATACTTTGAGATGCACTGGTTTAAAGAAGGGGTCAGTAAACTGTGGCCTAAGGGCCAAATTCACCTGCCCATTTTTGTAAATGAAATATTTTTTTGGAACACAGTCATGCTCATTCAGTTATGTAATGTTTATGACTGCATTCACAGAAGCAGAGCTGAGTAGATGTGACAGAGACTATATGTCCCACATAGCCTGAAATATTTACTCTCTGGTCCTTTACAGGAAAAAAAAATTACAGACCTGTAATCTAAAGCACTGACTTTATTGAACGATTGAGTAATTATCCTGACTGTATGTTTTGTGCTTTTCCAAATGTATATAGATGCTGTTTTCATTAATAAAATAAAATTTATTTATTAATAATACTGCTGACTTTTTCTTAGTAACTTTTTATCATTTTCTCAGTCAGGGAGGAATTAAGTGTGATCACTATTATGTGGTGGTCTAAGAGTCTTTTTATATTAAAAAAATAAGGGGAGGTTGTGTCCTTATGCTTGAAAAGACTTCTCCAGGGCTTATGGGTGGCTCAGTGAAGATTCAGGAAGCTCCTAGAAGCTTCTCATTAAACAAAATGTACTCAGGGAAAGAACTGAATCTTTATAGTGACTGAAGCCAGGCTACCTTTTAGAGCCTTTTCAGGGTAGAATGACATGAGCCTTACCTTGCTAGGAGTCCATTTCTTGGCCTGCTCTACATGATCCAGGATGGAGGCATCCATGCGGATATAAGGTCAATGATATTTAGCTAAAATGATCTAAAACATTTGCATACCCAGGAACTGCCACATAATTGTACTCTGAATTCTAAAAGAGCTCCTACCCCAATAAAAATGTGTGTCTGCTCTGGAGATGTGAGTCTTCGGTCTTTAACCAAAAAAAACCTCACTATTATCATATTATTAACTCATATGAAAAGATTTCTTTAAGTATTGGTGTTAGGTACAAAAGATACATCTATGATTTCAGCGATTGTATTTTCTTATTATAATCAGAGATTCAAATTTTGCTTTGCAGAAAAAGTTAGCTGCTATGCCTGATCATACGGATGTTTCCTTAAGCCCCGAAGAGAGAGTCCGAGCCCTAAGCAAGCTGGGTTGTAATATTACAGTCAATGAAGATATCACTCCGCGCCGCTACTTTAGATCTGGAGTAGAAATGGAGAGGATGGCATCAGTGTATTTGGAAGAAGGAAATCTGGAAAATGCCTTTGTTCTGTATAATAAATTTATAACGTAAGTCTTTTGTTTTGGGATGTTTTGAAATGAGGATATTGGGATAATACTTACATGATATTTTGATGGGGCTGTTTGCCTGCCAGGAACATTTTGACATTCAGACCAATTTTGCAGTCTCCAAAAGCATTTAATGTCAGGTCTTTAAATTACCAAATAATGTGCTCAAAGGCATCCTTACACCATCTCTGAGGCTAAGGGACCGAATAAAGTCAGGGATGGGCTGACACTTAGGGATATCAGATCCACTCTCAGTGGGCAGGCACAATAATCGCAGTGCTTCTTTCTGTCACACTCTTTACAAACAGGGCTTCGAACTGGTTCACTCCGGTTCAAACTCCTGCTGAGAATTTGCATTTCTAACAAGTTCCCAGCGATGCTAATGATGCTGGTTAGGGATCAGTTCTGAGAACCACTAGCAGAGAATCAATACGGAATCTTGTTAACATGTAGATTCTGATTCAATATATCAGGGGTGGAAATGCAAATTCTTAGCAGGGGTTCAAACTGGAATGAACCTGTTCAGAGCCCTGTAACTGCAAATACCATTTCTCATCTCATGCCTTTCTCCCCTTACGGAGATGTAGGCTTTGTGAGAACAGCAGCCAGATTGCAGCTCTGTTTACAGCACCTGGAACATGCAATCAGCACTGAAAAAAATTTTTATTGATGGGATGAGACTGTGAATTGATGGGGTGAGACTGAAGGATAAGTTGGGAATCATAGAAAGGACACGATTAAGGGCTAGGGAATAAGAGTCAGTTTCACGTAAAAACGACAAAAACAGAAAACAGTTGTCATCAAGTCTACTCTGACTCATGGCAATCCATTGTATGTTGGAGTGGAACTGTGCACCACAGGCTTCTTGATGACTGATTTTTCAAAAGTAAATTTCAAGGCCTTTATTCTGCAGTACCTCTGAATGAACTTGAACTGCCAACCTTTTGGTTAGCAACCAAGCACATTAACCATTTGCACCACCCAGTGACTCCCATTTTCACATACTACTTAGTAATTTTTTTAAAAAAGGCAATTTATTTGGCTCTATGAGAATGATACGTACAAAATAGCTTTCAAAATACTGAGTGAAAGTGGCAACATCAAGACAACCATGTGAAAATATACTTCCTATTAGATAATGGAACCCTTGTGGCACAGTGGTTACGAGCTATGACTGCTAACCAAAAGGTCAGCAGTTTGAATCTACCAGCTGCTCCTTGGAAACCGTATGTTTTTTTTTAGAAGACAGATATTCGTTAGCAACGTATGCTAGTTTAAGAGTTAATAGAAATAGGATTTGGGTTTTCCCTACCAATTTGCCAGTTTACTGGTTCGAAGGATCTTCAGTTATCAATAATGACTTAGTTATGTGTTGATTAATGTCACTAGTCTCAGTTGGGGACTTATAAACTGAGAACACTCGAGAAGTTGAAAAGATAAACTATTTTTAAAACTACATTCCATGATTCTACCAAGGGTGAAATAAAAGCAGTTTACATGGCATCCAAACTGGGTTCTGCATTTTATTCAAGGTAATTAACTTCTTGGAAATCTTGAGAATGGTTGGACACTTCACCCTATCTGGGAAAATCCTTTATTTCTAGCAAGTTAAGCAATATGAGCTTGGAGGTTATCATTTGGATTGAATGTGATGATGAATGAATGTGTGATTTGTAAACAATGGAACTTTAAGTAATTATAGGGTATCACATATTGATTAAAATAGCATTCATAGCCCTTAATAACCTATCAAGGAAGGACTAGTCATTCATTTAACAAATATTTCTTGAATACTTAGTATGAGCTGAGCACTTCTGCGGGATGGGGATACATGAGTGAAAAAAAAGACAGGATTCCCTTAATCTGGAAGTGATGTACATGGTTTGCTCTAGAGACTTCACTTCTGCAAGGCAATGAAAAAATAACTAACTCCCCAGCATTGGCAATCAGCATCTTCTGATCCACTAGGGGTTCTGGTTATCATTTCTCTTAGTTATGAATTTCAGTTCAGAGTTTTTATTATACACAAAGGAGGCACTACTGATTCATCAGTGGTCCTTTGAGTCTTTTTTTCAATGGTGACACGGGATTACATTGATGTTTGCAAACTCTTACATCGTTACACAATCCTGTCTGTGACCAGCAGCACACATAAGTAGGATGGGGCTCTGGTGGGGTAAAGGGAGTAGTGCAGGACCTGAGAAAGGCCAGCGTGACTTGTTCTTTTAGGACTATCCCTGACCTTAACCCCAGATCACATCAGTTCTCAATTTGCTGAGATTAGCTACCTTGTAATGCCAAACTAAGGTCCCTAGGTGACACAAATAGTTTGCACTCAACTAGTAACTTGAAGGTTGGTGATTTGAACCCACCCAGTGGGTTAAAGATAATAGTCAAGAAAACTCTATGGAGCAGTTGTACTCTGTAACACATGGGGTCTCCATGAGTCAGAATAGACTCAGTGACAATGGGTTTGGTTTTTTTCAAGGCCAAAATAATGCTGTTGCTGATCCTTTGCAAAAGGCTGATGGCAAGGATATAAGTTAAATAGTAAGTTATTAACCATTATCTCTTTTGAAAGGATGCTTATTCTTATATTAGAAACCATTATTGAGCTTATTTGTCGTACGATGCTAATGCTGTGTTTTTGTGTTTCTATAGCTTGTTTGTAGAAAAGCTTCCGAGCCATCGAGATTACCAGCAATGTGCAGTACCCGAAAAGCAGGATATTATGAAGGTATTGTGGGATTCATTCTCCCCTGTGGGATCAAATGCTGCACAAGTACCCATTATTGATTCACTTTCCCTTCCTTTCCTCCTCAGTCTCACCCTCTTGAGAGTTAAGCACAAAAATTCATTCCATTAGCAACAATGTTTCGATTTCTTAGACTTTTAATCATCATTGCTAAACCACTGTGGGGTGTCCAATCAAAACTGGAAAAAAAAGAAAAGAAACAGGTCAGAAATTTGCTCAATCACCTTATGATGTGAAGAAGGAATTATTTCACAGTCGTTCCCAGAGATTGAGAAGAGTGGTTTTATATTTCCCCGTGCTTGTTTGAGATCATTATTTTGGCTGATGTTGATTATTCCATACAGCCTTAAACTCAATAACTATTTGAAAACTGGTGTTGATTATTAAGGCAGCACAAAGTTGTAGTCGTTTTCCTTTTATAGTACTGGTCTAACAGATAATAAAATGTTTCGGGGGGGTGGCCTGGAATATTCTTAAGGAAAACAAAGATTGTTGAAATGTGTTTATGTATCATCAACCTTTGCAACGTATATAATTTCAAATATCTTTAGCATAAGAATATAAACACTGTAAATAAACATTTTAAAAATATTTCCCCTTTCTTTCTCTTGAATAACTTCGATTGGTCTTATATGGAGAAAGATAAAACAATGTATACAAAGCCAATCACAGCATGAAATTTTAAATAGCTTGCGAAAGATATTTGACCATATAATAGAATGAAGGCTCTCCTATCTTGTGTAAGCCTGAGGCTGCCTGTCACTAGAACTCAGATTTTGTCAAATGGTCATCTGTATTATTTGATTTCTATACACACTCATCTGATGTCCTTCATTATTGTGCTTTTTTTTTTTTAACCTTTTACTTCCATTTTTGTTTTCTTTTTTTTATCATTATTATGCCTTTACATAGCATTTTCCCTAAATTTTCATGTTCATTCAACTTCAGAGAGTTTCTGCTTGGAAATTAAAGGTTCCAGGCTGCCAAGGTAGACTCGTTTACTCTAATTTAGGGTTATACTTATTTTTATTTGTGGGAAAAATCTCCAAAAGTCTATACATTTCCCTTGTCCTATGCTTGTTGAATAAATGGATAGGATGAATGAATAAATGACAAAGGGCTAAGAGAATAGAAATTTTAGTGGAAGAGCCCTGGCTAGATTCAAGAGACTTGGATTCTAGTCTTAACAGGTCAACTAGATAGTCGTATGACCTTGGACAAGTCTTTTAATCTCTCTAGGCCTTTGTTTCTTCATCTCTAAAAAAAAAAAAAAAAGGAAGGGAATAGTTGGACAACGTCATCAGGTTTCCCAGATTTTGCTGTAATTTGGAATCATTGGGAAAGTTTGAAATCTATATTCCTCGGCTCCTTCCATAGAGATGTTGATTCAGTAAACCTGAGACTAGTCCTGGGGATCTGTATTTTTATAAAAAGTACTTCAGCTGCTTTTTATGGTCTGGCTAGTTTAGGAATCCCTGCCTACCATGTTCTCTAATGTCCCTTCTGGCTCTACTGCTATGTGATTTACATACTGTGGAATGTGCACTTACAACCCACTCTCTAAAAATGGGATACCTGACCAAATAAAATGCTTATCCAACCAGTGGAGCCAATAAAGGTTTACAGAGGGGTTTTTTTTTTTTTTTTCTTCCTTGCCAAAAAGTTTATATTTTGGAGCCCTAGAAAAGAGATCTATTTTTTTGTCATCATCTTTGGTTACTTGTGACTTGATTTCTAATACACCTACCAGCTGTTTTGCTTTCTCAGCTGAGGATCTGAAAGAGTATACTGAAAAGCCCCACTAATCAATATGTATATATATTTTTAAAAGAAACTGAAGGAGATTGCCTTCCCAAGGACAGATGAATTGAAAAAGGACCTTTTAAAGAAATATAACATAGAATACCAAGAGTATTTGCAAAGCAAAGTAAGTTCAATGGGTACATTTATTTCATGACTGTTTTCTGTGCAAACGGTTTTTGAGTTTCATTTTCCTATGATGAGATTTCCAAATGTCATATGCATTTAAAATTAAAAATTAAGGATGCAGTGATGTAAAGCCAATAAAAAATTCATGTTGACGTCCAGGTTAAGCACTTGCACCACAGATGTGGTCTTTTTATTTCCCCACGACATCTGATGAAGTGGTGTATTAGAAAACAGATTTCCTACGGTGATTTAAATAGAGCTTTTTGTCCATCTCTTGCCAGTGTAACCTTGAGCCAAATGGCTGCTCTTTGCCAGATGAACAGAGGCAGGAGGAGGTAGAGACAGCAATATATGGTTTCTCATGTATTTAATCATGTAGGCTTTGAAAATGCAAATTAGAGTCTTAAATTTGGTTAATATTACATTGGGCTGGAAGAGTAGCTGACCGTGTTGGTGAAATGTAATAGTATCATCAATATGTGATGACTTCTGGATTGTTATTAAATAAAGAGTGAAAATGATAACGATGTCTACAAGACAGAAAGGCATGGAAAAAGAAATTGACTGTTTACTCTATGGGATACTCCAGTTCAAAACATGAATCTTTCTAAATTTTTATAGTATTATTATAAAGGTTTTATTTATTTCTTTAGGTGTGTTATTTGCTTTGGAGGTTGTCACCTTCACTGACTATCATTTCAGTTCAATTTATTAGCTCTGAATATGGTCACAGAGCTGCTCTGCTTTCATGGGCATGACCAGAAAACATGGTTTGAGTGAGGTGTTTTAACCAAGTGGCAGAGGGAATGTTGAAATCAGAAGTTTCCCTCAAGTGTGGATATTGACAATTTGATTTGCAATATGAAAGGTAAAGATGATCTTGGAGGCAAAGGCAAAGCAACAGCAATGGAGAAAAAAAGCCCATGTTCAAGTGTTTCTCCCATGCTCAGCAATGTATATATGCGTACCTTTCACAGTCATCCTGGGAGGAACAGCCTCACTGTTAGCTAGTCCGCTTTCTGCGCTTGGCCAGGCTGCCTCTGGCAATACCAATTACTTCATAGTCCACCATAGTATCCCGAGTGTATGACATAGAAATCTCTTGTGGGGATAGAGTGGCAGCATTGTGCCTAGCAGAGATGAACAGAGATGCCTGGAAACCCTTGCTACCAGCAGCACCGGCATCATCTGGGAGCTTGTTGGAAACACAGAAACCCAGGCCCTACCCGACACCTGCTTAATCAGAATCTACATTGTAACGAGAAAGATCTCTAGGGTAATAGGTGTGTGCATGAAAGTGCTGCTGTGAACGGTCTCCCTGGCTCCACTCCCATCTTACTTGTAGCTCTCCAAATTTAGTTTCCATCAAAAACATTTGGGGAACTTATTAAAAATTTATATTCTGTGACCTAATCTCTGGATATTTTGTTAGGACTGGGGATCTTGGGAATTGCGTTTTAAACTAAAATCCATATTGGTTCTGATAGAGATGGTTGGGCCACATTTTGAGAACTATTTCTTAGTGATTCTATGCAGATATCCCTTCTTCCCTGTAAAGTTCCAGCAATATGAGTTCTAGAGACAATTGTACAAGGTTTGAGGTCAGCACTGTGCAGTAGAGCTTTCTGTGATAATGGAAATGTTCTATTCGGCACTGTCCAGTGTGGTAGCCACTAGCCACATACGGCTATTGGGTACTTAAAATGTGACTAGTGTGGCTGAAGAATGGAATTTCTAATTTTATATTATTTCAATTAATATGAATTTTAGTTAAATAGCCACATATGGCTAGTGGCTCTTGTATTGGCAAGTATAGTCTAAGGTGATATAACTATTTCTGAGATATTTTGTTCAATACAGTCTGGCCAGTCAGGCTGAGCAGACAACCCTGACCTGGATTTTCCGATATTTAGAAGTGTAGTGGAATGGAGGGAACTTAATTGTCATGGTTTGTCTCCAGTAAAATATGAGTGGACTTGGAACTGCTGTCTTAACCAGATTAAGGGGCTTTTGTGATGATGATGTCTGTTTTCCTCACTGTTTCATGAGTATCCCTGTGGGCATATCATAATATCTAGCTATGTGTCTCTGTCTGCTAGAAGGTGAGAAAATGTCTAATTCCAGCTTGATGTTTTTGCCTTGAAAACTAACCTTTTGTTCTGGCAACCACCTTTTGTAGAACAAATATAAAGCAGAAATTCTTAAAAAACTGGAGCATCAGAGATTGATAGAGGCGGAAAGGAAGCGGATTGCTCAGATGCGCCAGCAGCAACTAGAATCCGAGCAATTTCTGTTTTTCGAAGATCAACTCAAGAGGCAAGAATTAGCCCGAGGTCAGATGCGCAGTCGGGAAACCCCGGCACTGTCTGAGCAGATTGATGGGAGTGCTTTGTCCTGCTTTTCCACACATCAGAACAACTCCTTGCTGAATGTACTTGTGGAGCAGCCTAATAAAAGTGATGCAGCCAGTTACACTAGCCACTCTCCTCCCGTAAACAGGGCCTTAAAGCCAGCTGCTACTCTAAGTGCTGTTCAGAGTAAGTGATGAAATGCTCCTCTACAACATATTGAGACTCTTCTAATGGCACACATTTCTGTAGTATCTGGCAAGGTTTTCATTTCATTATTAATTATGGCAGGACCTCTATATGATGTGGTGTGAATGACAAAGCTAACCTTTCAGTGCTGTCTGGCTTTTACTTTTACCAGTAACCAGTTGCCGTTGAGTTGATCCTGACTCATGGCAACCCCATGAGTGTCAGAATAGAACTGAGCTTCATAGGAATTTCAGTGGCTGATTTTTTGGGAGTAGATCGCCAGGCCTTTCTTCTGAGGCACCTCTGGGTGGACTCAAATCTCCAACCTTTTGGTAGCTGAGTATGTGAACCATTTGCACCTCTCAGGGACCCAGGCTTTCACTTCTGGCAGTCCCCAGATTACAAATGAATTCCGTTCCTAAATCTGTCTTTAAGTCGAATTTGTACATTAAGTTGGAACAGTTAGGTATGGTTCGTATCTAACATCAGTCAAATGTTCGTCTTAGTATATAGTATATAGTGTATCTATGCATAAAAAATTTAAAGAAACACTTCCATATACACTAAAACATCTTTAACATAATAATACAGCAATAATAATAATGTTTTGATGTGCATCGCAAAGTAGCAGCTGTTTTTTTATGAACCATTGTATGTATCTTAAATTTTTAATATAATAGGCTTTATGAGGGTTGGTTTGTAACTACGGGTTGTACATACGTCGGACATTCATAACCGGGGGACTGCCTGTATATGTAACATTAAATTTTAGGAAACATGATTTGCCCCCCTGGTAGAGCAGAGACTCTATAATAACAGGACTATATTTTATCATTGTGCAGAGCTTTAAAAAGAGAAGAAATCCAAGCATTTTTTTCTTCCATGTATTTTAACCAAGAATCACATGATAACTTAAAAGTAAACATGGGTATTGGAAAGAAGATGTTGAGAAAATCATTTGTCTAGATCTTTGTTCAACAATGAAATTTTTATCTGCAGTATGCTGTGGCCCAGGAGGATCTCATGCACATAAGTAGTTAACCTCTAAATGGATTATGTGTTTCTGCCAACAATTAGTGCTGCTTGATAGCGCTAGATCAGTGCTGGCAAGTTTCCAACATCAAATGGCGAATTCTTCCCAGCAGACACTATCAGAATGAGTTTGTGTTCCCATTTGTTTTAAAAGAGTTACAATAGGCAAATATTTTACAAGTTACTCTATTGCTATTATTTCTGAAAACTTTGTGGTTGTACCTATTGATCACCAACTTTCATAAAGACATAAGTAACATATGGTAAATACAATAAACAATACTTATCCTATGTCTCGGAGCCCTGGTGTCATAGTGATTAAGAGTTCGGCTGCTAACCAAAAAGTCGGCAGTTTGAATCCATTGGCCACTCCTTAGAAACCCTATGGGGCAGTTCTACTCTGTCCTACAGGGTCGCTGTGAGTCGGAATCGACTTGAGAGCAACAAGTATCCTTTGTCTTATATGACATGAGATATATCCTATGCAACATATTCATTTAACAGTATATTTGCTTATGCCAGAAGAAAATACACATATATATATATAGCTGATTTAGGCCATAAAGATATAAAGATACTTGTGCCTGTACACCTTGTTTGTAAAGTAACTTACATACAATTGTAATTTTATCTTCTTTCTAGTCAACGATTACCATTAAAAGTTTTAAAATAAAATATGGACAGTGGGGCACAGGGTAATTTTATTTCTGAAATTTATTTTAGTAGCAATTGCTTGCTATAAACAAATCTGAGAGATGGATATAAGATTTATGCTTTAGCTTTTTCAACTTTTTCTGTTCCTTAGATTTAGTGGTTGAAGGACTGAGATGCGTAGTCTTACCAAGAGATCTTTGCCACAAATTTCTGCTGCTGGCAGAGTCTAATACAGTAAGAGGAATAGAAACCTGTGGAATACTCTGTGGAAAACTGGTATGGTCTTTGTTTCATATTTCTCCAGACAGGATACTTTTAATAGTACTGGCTTTCGTGTGATAAGCATAGCAGAATAAAAGCATGTTAAGAATTGTAAATCTTATAAAATTAACTTTACACGGATTAATTTCATAGAACTGCTGTCATTATTGATGGAAGTAACTAGATTATAAAATTTCAGGGATACTATAAAAGTTTGTTTTGAGCAAGTAATTGAAGCATGTATCTTTGGTTAGAAAAATGGTATATTACGGGTCTTCAAATTTCCAGATCCACCTAGTTTGCGAAATTATTTTTTCCATTGCAATTATGAGAGATCCTAGTGAGACCCCTCAATATTAGAAAAAAAGTCATAAGTCTTGCAGTGAAATTAAATAAAATTAACAAAACAAAAACAGGACCATCAGCCTCCGCGATCCTTAGAAATGTTATTTAACTAGTATCTTCCCCTCCAAATAAACCTGGTGCTGGTTTGTCTAATTGTTCCATTGTAGGTGTAGTATCTCAAGACCTTATATATTAACTACATTTTCATGGACCAGCCTGGGATGCTAATTACTATTTATGATACATTTCTATTGAGAAAATGTATTTCAAGTTCCAAACAACTGACTTTCAAAAAATCCAATTACAAGTTTGGGACATTGCTTTTGAATTGTAGTGGAGAAGGGGTATGATGATGCAATTGGTGGGGGCGCTCTCTAGTCTTGTAGCAAAAGATTGCATTTCCTGTTCAGGTTTTTTTCAGTCAGATGCTTGTTATTCTTTTAGACACATAATGAATTTACTATTACCCACGTAATAGTGCCAAAGCAATCTGCAGGACCAGACTACTGTGACATGGAGAATGTAGAAGAACTATTCAATGTTCAAGATCAGCATGACCTCCTCACTCTGGGATGGATCCATGTATGTTTGACCTTTCCGTTTTCAGTTTTTGTAATTAATTTATTTTTGTGTATGATGTGCTGTTTTCCTCCATGAGGACACAGCTTAATTTAAATAGTCTCTTGTTTTTTAATTTTCTCAAATGTAATAAATGTCATCATATTAAAACATTTTTGTCAGTGTTAGGCCATGTCTAAGCCTGTCAAATGTGAATTTAGAGAGGGGTATCATATGCTTTTTTGACCATCCTCCCTCCCCAAAAAAAAGATAGAAAGAGAGAAACTTTGGGGAATTAGGGGGCTTGTTTTGATTGTTTCAGATAGTCCAATTATTTTAGATTTTTAACCAATTTGACTAGACAGTTATTAATGTTCTCTTTCCCTTTGCTGTGGGTCTAAATTAGATTATTTTAAGAAAATTCCTAAAAATATTTTTTAAATAGGTGATTGTATATATCAAATAGGGACTATACAATCCCCCCTGCCTCCTGTATAGGCCAAGGGTATGCATTACTCTATACACAGCCACACAATAGGGCCAGTAAGATTGGGCCAAAGACAATGGGTTCCAATCCACTAGGCCATCATAGGAGCACAAAAGTGCTTATGAATTAAATAGACATGAGTTTAGATCACAGCGCTACTAAAAAATTCAGTATAAGAACTTAAGCAAATTTTTAAAGCAATCTGAGCACAAATTTATCATACATAAAACGAAGATCGTAACAACTGACCGTGTGATGGTGAGAATTAAATGAGATAATGTAGGCAGATTTTTTAGCACATTTTTCTAGGGACTCAGAAAATTGTAGCTGTTGTTAGTGGTGATGATATTCTACTTTTTCTAACCATAATTTAATCCATCTGGGGAACATTTTTCCATTTTGATTTGCACATCTGGGCCTGGGGTAGGGACAAGTCATTCCACTCTCATGGGATGCTGGCCAAGAAGATTTTCAGGGCCTATCCTGGGGACCTCTGAGATCCCCTGAAGAGTAATAAGTGATCGTCACATACACACACACACGTGCGTACACACACACACACACACACACAGTCACCAAGCATTTGGTGTTATATAATTTAGGAGTGTAGAGATTTTAGTCCTAGCTCCGCCTATAAATTACCATGTGCCGTTAGTCACGACTACTAACCTCCTTGTCTCCAGGTTCCCTCACTGACCAAGTAGGGCTAATGGGTGCCTTCCCCTCCCTCCCAGGATTTGTGTGGTTGATAAATAAGACACCAGGTGTGAAAGCCCTTTGAAAATTATCAACTGCTTCTCAAAAGCACGAGAAGATTTATAACTGAAGAGTTTGCAAAGCTTTCCATATGTCTGTTTGCTAATATGCCTTACCGTTTGCTTAGAAATAGCTAAACTTTAAAGGTATTATTTAGTTTAACATGATTTTTTTATAACAAGAATGCATTTTAAAGTAAAACAAATTGTAGCAAATAAATTGTAACGTAAATTGAGAATAACTTTCAATTAAATTACAAGTTCATGTTGAAAAGTCCATGTTAGTTTATCTTACAAAAACATTTTCCCAAATTAGAACCGAAAGTTATTCCCTTATGACCATCTGTGTAGTATAATGTATGCAGTACTGAAATTAAGTTATTTAAATAATGAATTTGACATAAGTCTAGAATTCCAGCATCTTGCTTCTTGTATAATTTATTTCACCATATCAAATTGTTGTGGTTCAACGAAAATACTAAAATGTTACATTTCTGAAACTCAGTGGTTGTAAAGACTTTTGTGATGGTTTTTATTGAGCATAATAATAGCAACAAATTCCAGAGCTAACTTTTTCCAGATATAAATTAGTCATAGAAAAAAGGTCTTGGAACCAGACAGACCTGGGTTTGAATTTAGACTTCTTGACCTAACTAGCTGTATAAGTTTCAGCAAGTTACTCACTTTCCTGCTTAGCTCAGTTTCCTCAGCTGTAAAATGAGGTTAATAATAGTACTAAACTCATTGAGTTTTTGTAAGAATTAAATGAAATAATTCATGGAAAGTACCTGGCTCATTATTCAGGTGCAATAAATGGCATTTGCTGGTTTTGTTATCATCATCATCATCCTCATCTCATTTTCATTTCCGTAGAGTGAGAGACTGGGAGCACCATTTCCCATGGGAGAGCTATCCTCATTGCACTGGAAATGATTGCTCCTGGCAGAAATGAAGGGCTTAGAGTGTCATGCGATTTACATTCATTCTAGAACGAATGTGCGTTGTTTATTTGAGTGGTCAGGTTGCTCGCTGTCTCCACAGCGCTGTAGTCCCATTGAACAGTTTTTACTGTCTCACCAAGATATGGAATATTCTGTGTGCAAAGAGGTGTTCACTGAACCAGACAACAGACAGTCAGGTCCCCCAGCTCATACCCTCACTCAAAATCTGTTTTAAAAATTAAGATAATTTGCAGTCCTCAGTTGCTCTAAGTCTTTATAGAGATCAAGAGTTATTCTTCCTTGCAGAACACATATCTTTCTATAATAGAACTCAGCTATTTTATCTTCATTCTATTAAATAAAGTATAAGAGTTCTAAAATCTTGCATTTTTTTCAACAGACCATCGTTGTGTGCAAAGGCATTTAGCTATCTCTGTGGGAAACCCTCAGTGAAATGGATTGACACAATAGCCACAGCAATGGACTCAAACATACCAACGATCATAAAAGTCGCACAGGACTAGGCAGCATTTTATTCTGAGGTCGTCATGGGTCAGAGCTGACTCCATGGCAACTAACAACAACAGCGTGGGTCAGTGCCCTTAGCTAATAATGACAACATTAAAATAACACCACCAGCAACAAAACAACAATAATGACGCTAACAGTTTTGATTCCTTTCTATAAAGTTCTGGGCACTGTTTTAAGACTTTTATATGAATTATCCCCATTTACTCTTCATAACAGTCCCATAAAGAAAATGATCATTAATATTAATTAATTAATAACATTGTTTCTATGATCTCCGTTTTATAAATGATGCAACAGGCACAAGGGGGTTAAGTAACATTCACAATGTCATACAGCTAGTGAGTGATGGAGCCAGAGTTCATGCCCAGTAGGACCTTTGTTTCGTGATGAAAACGGTCACATTCCTTTTTCAAGCTTAATTAGGGTCTAATATGAATTTTAAATCGTTATGTATACATGCATTTTTCATATTCAGATGTGAACCTCAGATTTGTCTTTTATAAATACAAGTTTGTATATGGCCCCAAACCTGGAAGATACTTTTTATTTATCATCTCATCATCTTAGTATTTAGTTGCTTGTGCAAGATGAGTCCCAAACACCTTCAACAACCTGAAGATTTCTGTTCTCCCATTTAGAGGGAATGGTGATCCACAAAAGGATTCACAACAATATGTGGCACATTTTATGGAAACTTTCCTTTCATATCCATGGTTCTGGATATAAGTATCTCTTCCAGGGTTTCCTGTTACAACTGTGCTGCCAACCAGCTGGGTGACCCTGGGCAAGTTACTTAAACTCCCTGAGCCTCAGGATCTTTGTGTAAAATTGAGATAATTCTATACATATCTCACAGGTCAGTTGGGATGATAACATGAGAATCTATTTAAAGTCTCTGGCAAATGAATTTCTAGCTCTTTCTTTCCCAGAAAGAGAGTACATTTCTCTTCAAACTCCCAGGAGCCTCTTCTCAAAGTCAAAGTTATTCCAGAGAAGCAAATAATAGGAATGCAGGAAGGGGTGGATTATGTTAGCAAAACATTTTTAAAGTTTCTTATTTGATAAATGGTGGTTAAAAAAAGCAAATACGTTTTTCTCTTAAAATGGACTGTGGCTTTGGCTAAAACTCAGCTACCCTAATAAGATTGTCCTCTTTTCTTCTCATAGACACATCCCACCCAAACTGCATTCTTATCCAGCGTTGATCTTCACACTCACTGTTCCTATCAGCTCATGTTGCCAGAGGCTATTGCCATTGTTTGTTCACCAAAGCATAAAGAGTAAGTGGAACTATTGAAGAGAGCCCAGGGGAAGCTTTGGGGCTGCTGAGTTCAAGTGTGTCCATGTACCAGGTTGTGGCATCTGGATGGGCAGGTACATGATGCCCTTGGGAAAAGAGATTGGTGCCAGCCGGGTCCCACGCTCTGCAGTCTTGTTTTACAAGGTCCTTTCAGTGGTAGAGTTACTGATCCTCTTTTTTCAGTTAGCATGACCTTGACCTGGATAAAGTTTAGGAAGGAAGTTATTCCAGTTTGCTTTTTGAGATCTTCATACTACTGTATTATTTCCTGTTGTAAGAAATTTTCCAGCCTCAGCTTAATTACCCCCAGAACCTTTTTTAGTTTTGGGAAATGGTGATTATTGTAGATTATTAGTGTGGAGAGTACAGGAGTCAAACTTATATTGAAATTCCTGGCTCCATTTACAAGTGGTATGTTCTTCAGCAGGATACCTGACCGCTGTGAGCTTCTTCATCCCTAGTACTTGTCCATACCTGTGAGGATAAAGTCAGATAGATGATAGTCTGTGTAACAAAAGACCAGACCAGTTGCCATTGAATTGATTCCGACTCATGTCAGTCCCATGTGTTGCAGAGTAAACTGCACTCCATAGGGTTTTCAAGGCTGTGACTTTTTGGAAACAGATTGCCAGGCCTTTCTTCCATGGTGCCTGTTGGTGGGTTTGAATCACCAACCTTTCCATGAGAAGTCTAGCGCTTAATTTTTTGTACCGAGGGACACCCTAGTCTATGTAAAATGCCTCACGTAGTGCCTGGCAGGCTAGCAAGCACTCGGTAAATGTTTACTTTGTTATAAACAATGTTAGCATTGTAGTGAGGAAATATCTGCCACCTGTGATTTCCTCCCACAGGGCTTGTCCTTTTCTCTGCAGCCTCACATAACGGCTCTGCTGCATCTTCTGCATTCCAGCCCTGCAGATGCCTAGAGATAGCATTGCCCTCCCCTGGGATTCTCTCCTTTGGTCAGTCATCACACATACACACACACACACACACACACACAAGTAAACCCGTTGCCATTGAGTTGATTCTGACTCTTAGCAACCTTATAGGACAGAGTAGAACTGCCCCCTAGGTTTCCAAGGCTGTAATCTTTATGGAGGCAGACTGCCACATCTTTCTCCCACGGAGCTGCTGGTGGGTTCGAACCGCTGACCTTTCAGTTAGCAGCGGAGCACTTAACCACTGTGCCACCAGTTCTCCTTGGCTAGTCGTCACAAGAGGGGTTAAATAAACACCATGGAATTCCTACTTTGTGGTGTCTTTCTTCAGCCCTTTTGAGGAATATGTATGTTTCTGCCAGTCAAATAAAGCATTGAGAAAACCTAAATGATCGTTATGTTTATACCTCTTTTTTGTCCTGGGGTTTAGCACTGGCATCTTCAGGCTCACTAATGCTGGCATGCTTGAGGTTTCTGCTTGTAAAAAGAAGGGCTTTCATCCACACACCAAGGACCCCAGGCTGTTCAGTGTGAGTAGACAACATCGGTTATTTTCTGCAGATTCTTATTTTTCAAACTTTTTTTCTTTTTAAGGAAAGAAATACGGTAAGTCCCCAGGTTCCAAACATCTGACTTAATACTTACCAGTCACTCATATTTGCCCTTTGATGTTATGTAAATTTGCCCTCACTTTAAAACCGTAGAATCAACATCTACTCGCAACACTTTCTTCATCACAGTCACCCTCACTTGCTGCTCGTGCAGCTTTTAAATCATTGAAAAGACTTCGAGCCTTTTCTTGCACTAAAACAACTCAAAACAAACCCCCCACTGCCATAGAGTTGATTCCGACTCATAGCGACCCCATGTGGTTTCCAAGGCTGTAAATCTCGATGGAAGCATCTTTCTCCCGTGGAGCCGCTGATGGTTTCAAAACGCTGACCTTTCAGTTAGCAGTCGAGTGCCTTAACCACTGGGCACCTAGGGCTCCTATTTCTTGCACTAAAGTAAGGCTAAATAACTGTATGCACTGCTCTGCGTTACCTACAAATTTGACTTAAAGACACACTTAGGAGCAGATCTTCTTCGTAAGCCGGGGACTGTCTGTAGTAGCAATACAGCACAGGATAAAACACTGTACTGCTTAGTCTGGAATTTTCTTATCTCTGAAAATTAATAAATCTTTATGCTTTCTCAAGTTATGACTTCTTACTATTTTTTTATTTATAAGACAATACAGGTGTTTCTGTAGTAGAGTTGATTACACATAGTTACCTTTCCATTGGTGTATCTGTGACACTTCAGGTTTTCATCAATCTCAGTAGGCAAACAATTATTAAAGAAAATTATATAAAATATCTTATAAATTATTTCTGCATGGTATGACCAAATTAGTTTTTTCAGAACAGTTCAGTGAAAGCTGTGATCATACTTCTTAGCTCTATATAGCTCAACAGAAACGCTATTTGACTACATCTTAAAAAAAAAAAAACAAGAAAAAAACTCCTTGGCAGTTCGGTAGCTACAACATCAGAGAAACATCACTTTCAAGTTAGAATTCATTTAAAATGAGAATCACTTTGCAACCTCTATAAATATTTTGTTGCTGAAAATGAACAAACCTGATTTTATTTGTTCTGATTAGAGAAGTACTTTTTAAGTAAGGAAATTCATATTCCCTCCCTAAATATGTTAAGCATTATGATGTAAAACCAACTTTTTTTCTTTCCTAGGTATGCAAACATGTGTTGGTAAAAGACATAAAAATACTTGTGCTGGATCTCAGGTGATATGTTCTGAAGAGTACTACTGTCAGCTCCAGACACACACCTGTGGACATGTGGTTGCCGGATTTTCTTAAGATGTTCCCAGAAATGACTGATATTTTATATTTATACATTTTAGAGCAGAAGGTTTGATATTTATTGCTCTTGTACATTTTGAAGTGTTTTTTTTTTTTTTTGAGGGGGGGTTGCTTTGTCTCAAGAGAGGTTACAAAGTTGTTAAATCAATACCTATTAATGTGCCCAAATACTGTGACCTGATAGATAATAAATTGTGCTGCAAGCAACAATATGTCCAGTATTTATAGACGTCTTTGCATATGATTTTTTGAGCTTTAGGTGTTTTGCTGTATTTTTTTCCATTCATATAAAATGTAATTCCAAACAAAGAAATTCTGAGGAGTTCATCTCTAGGACAGATTATCTATCCGCCACATCTCCCTGTAGTTCCCCATGTGAAAAGAACCATGGATGCCGACAATAGAGACCATCTATGTTTTCGATTTCATACAGTCCCAGCCTCCGAGATATGTTTGCAGTGAATCATGGCATCAAATGCCAAAACGGCTTCTGCTTCGGGATAAGGTCAGAGGGACTGGGGTAGCTGATGACTCATTAACTTGATTAAGAGGACTAAAAGCAAAGAAGCTTGAGAGAGGGAAAGAAACAGGATCAGATAAAAATGAAAAGCCTATTACTGTGAAAGTCAGCAAGGGGGACAGAAGACATATGGCACGGGAAAGAACAGATAATTCTCAGTCAAAAAGAATGTGGAAACAGTACTTGTGATTAAAAATATCTACATATAAATTAATGCTCAGGGAATAGGAAAGAAAAACTAAGTATGAAATTGAAGAGGATAACATAAATACAATATGTTATGGTATTTCTAAGGCTTGGTAGAATGGGACTGTGACTGGTATCTAGATAATAAAAGCTTTACCTGGATCAAAAGATCGAAGGCATGAGAGATGTATGTACTATGTTAGCAAATTGAATAGGTAGGAAAAACCTGAGGGTGGAAACATATTGGAGAAAAATTAGCTACAAATATAAATAGACAAGAAAAAGTAATATTGAAGGAGCAAAGTCTAACCCTCCCAGCTTGAAGACAAGTATGGATGATGCCTTCTAGGTGACAACCTGTAGCAGACTGTCAGCGAGATGACATGAAACAGTGATGGGGGGGGTTCAGTATTCCTTCATCTGCTGGACATCCCACTCAGCTACAACCAGGTCCAGGATACACCCTTGACTTGCCTTGCTGATTGTTTAATTTCACTGTAGAGGCTTTGAATGTTAACCAATAAGGAAAAGCAAATGGATGCTGAACTGAGAGAAACTTTGGAGGAAAGTGAATATATTGTCTGAGAGATGTCTATAAATAATTCTGTTTGCAAATCAACGGTTCCAATGATCCTATAGTGGATACCTTTAAGAGGGATTAATGACTAAAACATATAGAGAAGTCCCTAAGAAATCCAAATGCATACTATGGTAACCGTAGATGTTCCCAGTGAAGTAAACACAGAAAAGGCAACAGAGACACCAGCAAACTTGCTGATCTGCTCAAGTTTCAAAGGAGCCTATATAAAAGCTGGAAGTTAGGCACTGAGTCCAAGAACAATTCTGAAAGAGATGGATAAAAATGGCAACTAGAAAAGAACGTAGGATTGACTAGGAGTCAGCATAGCTTTTCTGGGAGCCATTTATACCACACAAATCTGTTAATGTTGTTGTGTGTTACCAAGTCGATATTCCGACTCATAGTGACCCTATATGACAGAGTAGAACTGGCCCATAGGGTTTTTTACGTTGTAATGTTTACCAGAATGGATCGCCAGGTTTCTCTCCTGAGGAGCCCCTGGTAGGTTTGAACTGCAGACCTTTTGGTTAGCAGCCAAGCACTTAACCATTGTGCCTCCAGGGCTCCTTATAGGTAAACTTATTACTCTGAATCAGGAAGATGGCACAGATATGCATAGAATCAAGATAACCTGTTGCCATCAAGTTGATTCCAACTCATAGTGACCCTACAGGACAGTACAATTGCCCCATAGGGGTTCCAAGGAGCTGCTGGTGGATTCAAACTGCCGACCTTTTGGTTAGCAGTCGAGCTCTTAACCACTATACCACCTGGGATCCAGAATCAAGATAGATTAAAATCTCATCCTCTGTAATCGGACATTTATGGATAGAAGTGTTACTTGTGGTGGCAAGGTGCTGGACTCAGTCTGGCAATATGGATACACAAGAACTTCTATACAGCAATTAAAAGCAATTGGGCTAGATGTGCACCAAGCAACATAGATAAATCTCAAAATTGTGGTGCCAAATGAATAAAGTAAAAATGGAATGAGGGAGAAAAAAAAAAAAAGCTCATGCTCTGGGGTCAAATTCCAGCCCTGACACATACAAAACAATGCTTTATGACATCATGAAAACCATAATACAAAAAGCATAATTTCAGGAACATAGGCCAGAGTTGTCATCTTTCCTACTTCACCCGTTTCTAGTTTTTATCCAAGCTAATTCCCTTTCTTGGGATCTCCTGAATACTCAGGCACTTCGAGAATAACTTTATTCTGATACAATTGCAAACCTGTAGAAAAGTTGCAAGGGTACTGCAAGGAACTATCATTTACCCTTTATTTAGATCACCTGTTGTTTACATTTTGCTCCGTTTGCTTTATCACATTCTCTCTCTGTTTCTCTCTATATACAAACATACAAATGGTTTTTCTAAGCCATTTGAGTAAGCTGGATATATTGAGTCCCTTTACCACTAAATGCTTCAGTGAATATTTTCTAAGAACAAAAATTGTCTCTCAAGCACAGTAAAATGATCCAAATTGGGAAATTTAATATGGACACAATTGTGTTGGGTGCTATCGAGTCAGTTCTGACTCAGCAACCCTGTGCACGACAGAACGAAACACTGCCTGGCCCTGCACCATTCTACCAATCGGTCTTATGCTTGAGCCCAGTGATCCAAATAAGATGAAATCCTTGACAACTTCAATCTTTTCTCTGTTTCTTATGATGTTGCTTATTGGTTCACTGGTAAGGATTTTTTTCTCTATGTTGAGGTGTAATCCATACTGAAGGCTGTAGTCTTTGATATTCATCAGTAAGTGCTTCAAGTCCTATTCACTTTCAGCAAACAAGGTTGCATCATCTGCGTAATGCAGGTGCTTAATGAGTCTTCCTCCAATCCTGGTGCACCGTTCTTCTTCATCAAGTCCAGCTTCTCAGATTATTTGCTGACAGTGCGGATTGAATAAGTATGGTGAAAGGATACAACTCTGATGCACACCTTTCCTGACTTTAAACCACACAATATCCCCATGTTCTGTTTGAACAACTGCCTCTTTGTCTATGTAGAGGTTCCTCATGAGCACAATTAAGTGTTCTGGAATTCCCATTCTTCAAAATGTTATCTGTAATTTGTTACGATCCACACAGTCGAATGCCTTTCCATAGTCAGTAAAACACAGGTAAACATCTTCCTGGTATTTTCTGCTTTCAGCTAGGATCCATCTAACATCAGCAGTGATATCCCTTGTTCCATGTCCTCTTCGGAATCAAGCTTGAATTTCTGGCAGTTCCCTGTCGATGTACTGCTGCAACTGCTTTTGAATGATCTTCAGCAAAATTTTACTTGTGTGATATTAATGATATTGTTCAATAATTTCTTCATTCTGTTGGATCACCATTCTTTGGAATAGGCATAAATATGAGTCTCTTCCAGTCAGTTGGCCAGATAGCTGTCTTCCAAATTTCTTGGCATGGATGAGTGAGCACTTCCAGCACTGCATCCATTTGTTGAAACATCTTAATTGTTATTCCATCAATTCCTAGAGCCTTGTTTTTTTTGCCAATGTCTTCAGTGCAGTTTGGACTTCTTAACTTCAGTACCATCGGTTCTTGATCATATGCTACCTCCTGAAATATCTGAACGTCGACCAATTCTTTTTGGTACAGTGACTTTGTGTATTCTCTCCATCTTCTTTTGATGCTTCCTGTGTTCTTCAGCGTTTTACCCATAGAATCCTTCAATATTGCAACTTGAGGCTTGAATTTTTTCTTCAGTTCTTTCAGCTTGAAAAATGTCTAGAGTGTTCTTTGTTTTAGGTTTTCTAATTCCAGGTCTTTGCACATGTCATTATAAGACTTTATTTTGTCTTCTCGAGCTGCCCTTTGAGTGCCTTCCAACATGAGGGGCTTATCTTCTGGTGCTCTATCAGACAATGTTCTACTGCTATTCATAAGGTTTTCACTGGCTAATTTCTTTCAGAAGTAGACTGCTAGGTGCTTCTTCTTAATATCCATAGTTTTCTCATCAGCCACCTCTCTTAATCTGGAAGCTCAGCTAAAACTTGTCAACCATGGGTGACCCTGCTGCTATTTGAGTACTGGTAGCATAGCTTCCAGCATCATAGCGACACACAAGCCACCACAGTATGAGAAACTGACAGACTCATGGGGTGGACACAATAGTATTATGTAATCCAAAGTCGGTATGTAATTTTCATCTGTTATCCCAGTAATGTCCTTTTTTGATTTTTTTCTTCCTAGACAGGATTCAGTCTAGAATTACACATCACATGTAGTTGTCATAACCCTTTAGTCTTATTTAATCTGGAACAGTTCATCAACCTTTCTTTTTTTATTTACCTTGACATTTTTTAAGAATAGAGGCAATTTATCTTGTAGAAGATTCCTCAGTTTTGGGTAAGCTTGTGTTTCTTCATAATTAAATTCTGCTGATGTATTTTTGGTGGGAATGCCACAGAAATGATACTCTGTCCCTCTCGGAATATCATAAATGTGACACATATATTGGTTTGTCCCAATATTGGTGCCATTAATTGAGATTACTTGTTAAGGTGGAGTTCACCAGATTCCTCTTCTATAAAGTCCCTTTGTAGTTAATAAGTAATTTGTGGGGAGATATTTTGAGACTGTGAATATTTTTCGGGACACTTTTTGACTTAATCTCAGTAGAAATTGCTCCCAGTCACCTCAGAAAATCCTGAGCTGGCTTCGCTTTCCTTGATCAACAGTTCTGTGATCACCTGTCAGTTTCCCTGCTTACCCTTTGAGGTCTTACCTTACTCTTTCCCAGCTTTCATCTCTTTCTTTTCTTTCCAACTTTTAAGTTCCCTTCTCAGCCATCTCTCCCTGGGTCTTCAGTGTTTTCCCTGGCAGGGCCAAGCATAGCCCCTATCTAAACTTCCCTCTTCCCAGTGACTTGTACACCAACCACAGTTTTCCTAGACTTTGCTTTCCTCCTGAGATTGTATCAGAGTTGCTTAAACAATCCTGTTTGCATGTACTAGCATCCACTTTTTAGTTCAATGGTTTCTGTATTTCAAGCAGAGATATTCCCTGTTCGCTGTGCTTGGACGAGTTAACATCCCTTTGTACTTATCTATCCCAAATACTGATACCATGCCAACCAAATTCTGCTCCAGGTCTCATTCATGAAGAGCCTACTATAGGTAGCTCAGTGGCTTGTTTCTGCCTCATGACAAACTTGTAGCCTGGGAAAGTTCAAGACCCAAGCTCCAGAAGTAGAGCTTGGCTTTCCCTGTGTCAGGGGCCTTGAGACGACTGCCATCACCAGCTAAGGGCAGATGAACTCTGCAAAGCTGAGTCAGGCAGTCCTCAACTTCTTAGCACTTGAAGACACCATGGTATTCTAATATATTTGAGAAAAGGGAAAGATTATATAATTTATTCCAGTAAAAATGACTGCTGGGACTCGAGATGGTCGAGAATTAAGTGATATCCTCAGAGTAGAATTCAAAGACACAGTAGTAGACCAAGAGGATGTCAGATGAGAGGTGGCTGATGAGAGAACTATGGATATTGAGTGGAGCCTAGCAACAGAAAGGATTCAGTTGGAAGCCAAGAACATTTAGCTTCTTAGATTTCCAGAGACAACAGAGAGAAGCCATGGGTATGCAAAGCCAATTATGTCCCTTCTGAAGAGCAAATTAGAAGAGAACCCACTTTTCACTAAACCTGTTAAAAAAAAAAAAAAATCTTTATCATCAAGTCAATTCTGACTCGTAGCGAGGACAGAGTAGAACTGCACCATAGGGTTTCCAAGGAGTGGCAGGTGGATTCAAACTGCTGATCTTTTGGTTAGCAGCCATACCTCTTTACCACTGTGCCACCAGGGCTATGGTTTTTTGTGTTTGTTTTTTTCACTGAAAGATATATTGCCTGAAGGAGGGAGGGCATTCTTGGCTGTTCTTTCATTTCCCTGCAGTAGGAAGTAAAACCTCAGGCCTGAGGTGGAGTTTGAGAGGTTGTTTTTGAAGGAGATGTGATTTTCTTATTGCCAAGTACAAACTCAACCAGACTTCCCAGAAGGAACTTGTCACAGAGTTGAAGAACTTTGGAGGCAGCATACCAGCGCCCCGCCCTTGTCAGTCAGAATGGTTCCTGAGGCCCACGGGATTCAGTCTCTGAGAGAAGAGTCATCAGAAATGTGCTCACTCCATTGGGAAATGGGCTAGCCAGGAAGTAGAGCCTATGTCACCTCACATAGAGGCCGATGTGTGTGTCTGAGACCAGAGTGTTCTTTGGACAGGCCTCCTTTGGAAGATATCATTCATAGCAGGTGAGTACCGCTTCCTTTTCTGAATGTGAATCATTCCCAGAGCCCCATTTGCCACTTCTTTATCTCCTAAGGAAACCGTGGTGGTGTACTGGTTAAGAGCTGCTAACCAAAAGGTTGGCAGTTTGAATCCACCAGCCGCTCCTTGGAAACCCTATGGGGCAGTTCTACTCTGTCCTATAGTGTCGCTGTGAATCAGAATCAACTGGACAACAGCAGATTTAGATAGTTTTTAAAAGAACAAGATGCTCAAGGCAGATACTCTTTACTAACTAAGCTAAGCTGTTGCTTGGTTTAAAGAAGAGTTCCCTTGGTTTTTCATATGTCTGTTTGCCCAGTGCCTGGCACCTGGTAAGTCCTCAGTAAATGTTTGTTCAGACCGAATTGAAAATTTTTTCCTTTGTTGTCATGGGGACACCTGTTGCCTTGACAAAAATCATTCTCTTCCTTATAGACCTTGTTGATTATGGAAGAGCAATGCAGAGTGTCTATGGATTCTCCTCAGCCACTGAAACGGTTCCTGGCTTCTTTTTAGTATGGTTTTGTTTGCAGAAAATTAGCATTTTACTTAAGTTGTGACATAAGGGGCAGGTTTATGTCAGCTGAGGCCACATACTAGAGTTGGTTCAGTACTTTTTTCCCCTGATTTATTCCACACTGCAGCCAAATCAGTAGTGCTGGAGACTGTGCTAGTACAATGCTTTGGCCTGAGATGGAGGTTTCTGTTGCAAAACCAGCTGAAGTGGTCCCTAATATGGAAAGCAGATGTTTCTCTTCTGGCATTTCTTGCAGAATTATCTGGAAAGAGAATGTCTTCTGTGAAAAGGATGTTTGAGAAATGCCATGGATTTGGCAATGACGAAGAAAGATAGGCAAACTTCCAGCTCTTCGTTTTTCTTAGAAGAATTCAGCATATTATTTTTTGTGTGACGTATAGAAAGAACTCTTCTCTGTTCCTTTAAGAAACTTGCTTCCTTTTCTAGTATGTTGGTTGGTTCTTCATGAAGCAAGAATGTATTTTCCCTGAGGTGAGCTGACAAAAACATTGTTCATTGGTTCTTAGATACTTACCATACTGATGTTGAAGAAGACTTTTTTTTTTTTTTGATTATCAAAAGGCAAGTGCCAAAAAGCTGATTCTTATGCATCTGCAGTCTTACATGGAGGCTGAACTGTACCTTAGATCCCGTAGTTATTATATTAAAGAGTACTATTCAGATAAGAATGTGAGTAGTTATTATAATTTTACCCCTGATCTGGTATTTAAGTCTTCAAATAGACTTAAGGAATTATTACTTAAAAGGATAGCTTTCAAAAACAATTTTCAACTGAGTAAATCACACTAGGTATTTAAAAAGGAAGGAGTTTTTCAAATTAATATTTTTATAATAATTATGTTTTATTATAATGTTTTTAATTTTATAATGCTTTTATAATTAAAGGAATTTAATAAAGCCCATATGCATATGTGTCTGAATAACCAAAGAAGAGGTAGGGAGATGATCAAGAGAATCCTGGGGAAACAGCATGATGCAGGAAGGAAGCTTTTCATACTCAAAGTCTCCCTGTGGCTGAATTATTCGGAGTGGAGATGCAGAGGATGAGGGAGAGGAAATAGAGATGAACCCTAGGGAGGGAGGTGGAATGAAAGTATTACGGGCTGGCTTTATTTATTTGTTTTGAAGTAAATGCTTCAGGCATTATCTAGACCAAAACACATTCTAAAACCACATGGGGATAATTTGATATATATATATTTTTCTCCATTAAGGAGGATTACCCATACATCTGCATCAGGTAAACAGAATTGACTGTGAAAAATCAAAATAGTTTACTCAAATTAGTTACTGTCCCTGTGGGTCCAGGAAGTACCAGTGGAATGAGTGGTGAATCTGTTTTTGAGTCTGAAGAGGATGTTTAAAAATTCTTCTCTGCAGTTTTTCCAGGAGAAAGATTGTTTAAAAAATAAGCTCCATTATGCTTCCTTCTAGTATAAATACTGATGAACATTGAGAGCAAAACAAACAAATAGAAGACATTTGCTCTTCCTGACTTCAGACAACGTCATGTTTTGGGGAGCTTCAGAAATAGTGTGTGTGGATTACATGATTTAGTAGGTTCTTTTCAGCAATAAAATCTCATAGAATTTTTTCAAAGGTAAAACATTATTACTTATTTTAAAGTCAAATTTTAATAATAAAATCAGGATTAATAAAGATGTCAAAAAGTTCTGGAACTCACTTACTCTCATCATACTCTTACTGTTTGGAATACCAGTCCCAGGCCTTTATCAGGTTCACCAGCACCATGTTGAAAAGCAGGATTTAATTTTATCAAGGATACCAGTACCAGTTGTCATCAACTCTGACTCATCGTGGCCCATCTGTGTCAGAGTAGAACTGTGCTCCATAGGGTTTTCAATGGCTGATTTTTTGGAAGTAGATTGCCAGGTTCTTCTTCCAAGGCACCTCTGGGTGGACTTGAACCTCCAACCTTTCAGTTAGCAGCCCAGAGCATTGACCATTTGCGCCACCCAGGGATGCCTTATCAAGGTGGTCAGCCCTTTTGGATAGATAGGATTGGAAATACAGAGGAGAGAATAATCAAAAGAACCACCAGTAGTAACACTTTAAAATAATACCTTTGCTTTCTATTAAATTCAGTGGTTTATACTTTAATAAAGAAGGTGATGTTAGAACATCCATCTGAAATAAACTTTTTTTTTTTAAGAACAAGGGCTAGTTCAAAACTATTAGGATAGAATTGAATTTACCTGCTTAATGTATTCTTGTCTTGTGATGGCATTTTGTAAAGAAAGACCTAAAGTTAAAAGATTTCAGGCCATTTTTAAGGGAGTCTCAGGTTGTGGCATATGTTGAGATATAAAGAGAAGAAAATAACTGATCCAATGAAAGGATGGAGGAAATAAGCCTCAAAGCCAAATGTGTAGGGAAAAATAGAAGAACACAATCTAAGAAGAATATGAAAAGAAATTCTGATTGGTGTGTTGATGGCGAGACTACATCTCACATACTTTGGACATGTTATTAGGAGGGATCAGTCCCTGGAGAAGGACATCTTACTTGGTAGAGGGTCAACAAAAAAGAGGAAGATCCTTGATGAGATGGAGCTGCAACAATGGGCTCAAGCATAATAACGATTGTGAGGATGGTGCAGGGCTGGGCAGTGTTTCTGTGGTACATGGGGTCGCTATGAGTCGGAACCACCTCGACGGCACCTAACAGCAACAACAACCCATACTTGTTGCCACTGAGTAGATTCTGATTCATGGTGACCCCACGTGTGTCAGAGCAGAACTGCACTCCATAGAGTTTTCAATGGCTGTAATCTTTTGTAAGTAGATTGCCAAGCCTTTCTTCTGCAGTGCTGCTGGGTAGATTTGAACTGCCAACCTTTAGGTTAGTAGCCAAGTGCAAACTGTTTCGCCACCCAGGGACCCTGGTCTATCTGTAATACCATATATTTTCTTCCAAGGATAGGAAATCCGCATAAGGACAGCTCAGCTTTAGGCCACCCTGAAAATCTGTCAATAACTATGTTTCGTCATCAGTTTTCCCTGAAGATAGGATATGTTTCAAACCCAGTCAACAAAAATTGTGTTCCCTTCAGCCCTTAATGGGTATGAAATAACTACAAGGAGAACATTCCGGAATAGCTGTAGCTATCATGAACAAATTAGAGTGAGAGGTGGTAGTGTTTGGGTGTTCGTTTCCCAGATGCGTTTCTGAAAATGAGATGAAGAATTTAATTAACCCTGGGTGGCATAGTGGTTAAGAGCTAGGGCTGCTAACCAAAAGGTCAGCAGTTTGAATCCACCAGGCACTCCTTGTAAACTCTATGGGGCAGTTCCACTCTGTCCTATAGGGTTGCTATGAGTCGAAATCAACTTGACAGCAATGGGTTTTTTTGGTTTTAGTAAGATGAAACTTGCAGGAGCGGCAAATGAATCAGAGATACCAAATATCTGACTCAAAATTACCTTAATTACTTGTAATTGGTGTCTAATTTTAGGAAGACATGTAACAGAGAAAATGTTATGACTCCTACTTTGGAAAGTTGAAGTCAAGTCATAGTCACAGTTGTAAAGTCTATGTGTGGCCAATTCTCTGGGGTTGTTTTTTCAGTTTTCCCCATGCAGCACACTCTCTGGTTTCTGGGTCTCTGTCAGGAATGTGTCCGTGTGTGCCCTTCTTCCTTCCTCTTCTCCAACCTCAATCTCCAACCTCCCCTCGACCCCAGCTTTTATTTTGTTTTGTTTTGGCCTAGTTAGCTCTTAAGGAGCGCTGGTGGTGCAGCGGTTAAGCAAGGTTAGTGGTTCGTTCCTACCCAGCGGCTCTGAGGGAGAGAGACCTGGTGATCTGCTCGCTTAAAGATTATGATGACACCTGACATCAACAGTTAGCTCCTACCCTCTCTTTAAGCCTCTGCTTAAGCATCACCTCCTCCGGGAGGCCTCCCCTGAGCCCCGGGCCGGGTTAGGGCCCTTGGCCATAAGACCCCTTGCCCCACATATCTCCCCTGTTAGAATCTTTACAGTGTGCGCTCTCGGCTTGTTTGATGTCTGCCTTCCTCACTAGACTGTAAGCTCCATCCAGGCAGAACTTTGACTTGTTCTCTTTACATCCTTCATACCTATCCCTGTCCTAGCTCATAGTAAGCGCTCCTAAGCATTAGTTGAATTGACTTGTCTCTCCAGGGAAAAAACATTTACTTGATGCCAATATTGGAGCCCTGGTGGCACAGTGATTAAGCGTTTAGCTGCTAACCAAAAGGTTGGCAGTTCAAATCCACCAGCTGCTCCTTGGAAACCCTATGGGGGCAGTTCTACTCTGCCCTATAGGGTCACTATGAGTTGGAATCGACTCAACGACAACAGGTTTTTTTTTTGGTTTTGATGCCAGTATTGTGCACATCTGGTTTTCATATTCTGATGTGTAAGAACCATGTCCCAGGCTGCCCAGACCTGCTTTAACAGTTATCTCTTTTAATAAGCCTAGTCACAGCAGTGGGCTTCTGGTCAGACTCTGAGTGTGTGTTGAGCCGGGTGGCCTTCTCCCTCACTATAATCAGAAATTCTTTAACTGGTACTGGCTTGGAAGTTCTACCACTGAGATTCAAGTTCAGCCTGGCTGCACAAGATGCCACCCTGACTACAGAGAATTATTTGTTTTTTTAAAAAAATTTGAAAATGCCTTCTACTCATCCGCCCATGGCACAACGCTGCGGCGTAATGGGGATTAATGTTAACAGAAACCCGTACGGTCCTCAGCAGTTATGCAATACTGTCTGGTAAGCTGGAGGTGGTCATGGAGGAGCAAGGGCTAGCTCGTCCTTTTAGAGTCTGGTTTGTTATTGTTGGGGGAGAGAAGAGGATTCAGGAGGCGGCAAGGACTGTATGTTTCTGGTTTTATCTCCTCTGTCAATCCCTGCAAAACTCATCAATGGGACTCTGCTACTCCTGGAAGCCCAGTCCTTCAGTTAACTGGGCCTCTTATAAAATCACAGGAGCAGTTATAGATCTATGACTGAGAGGAGCTGCATAGGCAGTGCAGCTGAGTGGCGCACAAGGAAGGAACATTTCAGTAATGCACGTTCCTGCGTGGTTCTGGTTTTCCTGATTTTTGCCTCTGGGCAGGTCCTCGTCCTTTATTAGGGAACGCGTGCTCCCTGGTGGTAGTTATAAAGTACAACAGTTTAACAGATTGTTTAGTTTTGCTTTACGTAAACCCTGCAGCGATGACAGGAAAGTTTGGTGATTTTTGCTTCAAAAACGAAAGTGATCCGGTCTCAATCATCCTTAAATTTTAGTCTAGTGGGTATGGAGTGCCCTTGCCTGGTAAGCATTTATTTACAGCTAAATACCTGGTTGAACAATAGCAAAAGTTTTTTTATAGTCAAACTCTCAGAATCTTTAATATGATAATGAGCACTACAAATGCCGACTCCCCTCCCCCGCCCGCCGCCCTCGTAGGGGAAAGGAGATGTAACTTACTGATGCACACATTTTTTTTTTTTTGGTCACCCCTAGTCACTCCTTGGGGACCTGGTGGCACCGTGGTTAAAAGCTTGACTGCTAATCAAACGGTCAGCAGTTTGAATCCACCAGCTGCTCGTTGGAAACTTTATAGGGCAGTTCTAGTCTGTCCTGTAGGGTCACTATGACTCGGAATCTACTAGACCGCAACAGGTTTGCTTTGCTTTTGGTTTTTAGTTACTCCTTGAGAGTCCCTGGCTGGCACAAACGGTTAAGTGCTTAACTACTAGCTGAAAGGTTGGCAGTTCAAACCCACCCAGAGGCACCTCGAAAGAAAGGCCTGGCGATCTGCTTTCAAAAGGTCACAGCCTTGAATACCATATGGAGCAGTTCTACTCTGCACACATGAGGTCGCCATGAGTCAGAACTGACTTGATGGCTACTAACACAAACAGTCCTTTGCATGGGAAACATAGCCATCCTAGTTGTGTTGTAGCCTCCGTTGGCCACTAGAGGGGGCCACCCTGTAACAAGTGAGATCAGCGGGATGATAAACGCCAAAGTCAGCATATTACTGATAGCACATTTCAGATTTATTTAAAAAACACATAGGTAGCCAGTCAGAGCTTTGGCTAGGAATGAATTGGAAAGGAACTAAGACAGTATTCCACAAAACCTTCACAGTTATGTGCTAGAGACAGACAGAGCAGGGACGTGTTTTAGAAGCATTTGCGGTGGACAATGGAGGGCCCGGCTTCGTCATACTCCTGTTTGCTGATCCACATCTGCTGGAAGGTGGACAGAGAGGCCAGGATGGAGCCGCCGATCCAGACAGAGTACTTGCGCTCCGGAGGGGCAATGATCTGTTGGTCAGGATGAGAAAGAAATGTAATTTCGTGCACTCAAACAAGGGCCTGGGCATTCTACTCTGGCCCGTTTTATGGACTTGGCTGTAGGTCCGTGTGCAGCACAGACACACTTGGCTGTTAGATGCCCAAAACCAAACCAAGCCCGTTGCCGTCCAGTGGATTCCAATTCATAGCGACCCTATAGAATAGAGTAGAACTGCTCCATCAGGTTTCCGAGGCTGTAATGTTTTGAAAGCAGACTGCCACATCTTTTACCCGCGGAGCAGCTGGTGGGTTGGAACAGCCGACCTTTCAGTCAGCAGCTGAGCACTTAACCACTGTGCCACTAGGGCTCGTTGTCAGATGCCAAGGGCGTGTGAATAGACTGTGGATTTAGAAATTCGTCAACGAGCAAATTCCCTCAGCAGTCTATTCAAAGCAACGGTAACACTTCTACAGCATTCACTCTTCAACTGAGTGAAAATTGGTCCCAAATCCTGCAGTGACCTCAGCTTAAGAGCGCTGACAATGTCTCTGATTTCCACACGCTGTGCCTCAGAACTCAGTAAGCCACATCCCTTCTGTGCAAAGAAACACCAGCGTCTTCAAAGGAGACATTTAATTTGTGCCAGAATTTATTATGCTAGTGTTCTTCCACCTGATTTAGTCAATTCCTGCTCTCTGAAATTCCACCGAGATGCACTATTTAATATTGAGGGGTTTAGGTAGGGTTCCCTGTTGGATGAACATGCCCCTGGAATAGGTCCCAGTTAAGCATACTGGCTGGCCTTACTCAATGCAAAGGCATGAAATGTTTCTTAAATGACTGAATGATTTGGGCACAGTGATGTCATGGCTGCCACGGTAGCAACAGCTGGGAATCAGGCCAGGTGTCTCATCCACCTTTAGCATCTCAAAGAACAGCTGGAGCTGAGCAATTCTAGATTCCACTCCATTCTTGGAATCTTGGGTAGAAATGAAAATGGACACTTTGGGCCAAAAGGCAAGGTGTTTCTGAAACCGTGGTTAAAGTCTTTAATTTCTTCTTATCCCCCAAACTCTGATTGAGCATTTACTTTGAATAAAGACAGCTAACATTTAGTGAGCACTTATTTTGTGCCAGGCACTATGCTAAACATTTTACATGTATTATTTCATTTAATTCTCACAACCACTGTAACGAGTAAGTCTTAACTTACTTCTGTTTTACAGATGAAGAAACAGAGGCTGAGAAACTTTTAAGTAAGTTGCCCAGGTCACACTGGTTGTAAGTATCAGTAAGTGTCATACCCAATATTCAACCTCAGGTCTGTCCTGGGTGTTTTGTTTTCTGTTTTTTTAAAAATAATTCTAGACTTACAGGAAAGTTGCAAAGATAATACAGAGAGTTCCTGTAGACCCCTCACCCAGTTTTCATTTCCCCTAACGTCATCATCTTACCATCATAGGTTTTTAACTATTCTCACTACTCCCTCACCACACTGTAGCCCCCAAGTTCCCCATTCACTTCTATTTAAGAAGCCAAGTTTGGAGAACTAGGAACTGCCCACATCTAGCTACAGCTTCTCTTTATAGTATATCCCCAATCTAGCTTGGCTCTGTCACAGTACCAGCTTATTGGCTGGTTTCATCTCTTTCTCCCGTGTGGGAGCAAGAGGAGGTAAGCACTGATCGTAGGGGCGTGCAAGAAACACAAACCGTTCAGAACACACCTCTCACCCTGCAGTCCTTTAGGGCGGGACTCCCCAGAGCCTGTAGTGGGAAGAGACTGTTTCGGTATAGCATGCTCTCTTAAAATTATGTTAGCTTCATAGCCTTTCCAAAAAGAGAAGGGAGTGAGGATAATAGACAACTTGCTCGAACCCTTCTCGTGTGTGTGAATGCCCTAGGGTTGCCCTTTCTCCTGCTCCTGGTGACATGGGTCAAAGGGTCCCAGGGTGGCCTTCTGATTTCTGATAGTGGTAATGGCCTTTGAGAAGTCATCAGCCCTATGTACAGGTTGCCTCCAAAGAGTAATGTACATTTAATCTGAGTTCCTTTCACTGGGACTTAAAACTCTCACAATATAGGGGTCCTGGTGGCACAGGGGTGGAGCTGGGTCATCCTGGAGTCATTCTATGGGGTTGAGCACCTCTAGCAAAAGGTGTGCCAAACAGAGAGACGAAGATAAAATCCTAATTCCTGGCCACTGAGATGTGGTCACACTGAGTAGTGGAAGAAAAGTGTAAGCTGCTCAATCTACAGGGTTTACACTGCTTCAGAAATGTCTGGCTCATCTCTGTTTTTAAAACTTTATGCACATGAGATGCATTATATTTATAATGAGGAAAAACAATAAAATGTATAATTTAAAGTGATGTGAGCCTTATTATAGCTGCTTATGGACAAAGGTGCATATAGATTGGATTTTGTACAAAATTACTCAAATTCTCTTGCAAAATGAGTTGACGTCTATCCTGCAAAATATGGGATTTTACACCCTGCTCAGCCCTAGAATCCATGAGCATATGAGACCAAGATGTGGCCCCTGAAGGGTCCTTCATGTCTGGTGATAGGGCTGGCACCGTTGGTGGCCCAGCGGGGGGCCTGAACTATACCTTGATCTTCATGGTGCTTGGTGCTAAGGCCGTGATCTCCTTCTGCATCCGATCGGCAATGCCAGGGTACATGGTGGTACCCCCTGAGAGGACGTTGTTAGCATAGAGATCCTTCCGGATGTCAATATCACACTTCATGATGCTGTTGTAGGTGGTTTCATGGATACCAGCAGACTCCATCCCTGGAAAAGAGGCACAGGCCATGGTCTTCGGGTGGGGGATAAACCCAGATTAGATATAGACACCAGACTTGAATGACTGGGTGGCCTTATCCTGGACTGAAGCTGTTGTTGTTATTGTTGTATGCTGTGGAGTCTATTCCAACTCATATCAACCCTGTAGGACAGGTTAGAACTTCCCCATAAGGTTTTCTAGGCTGTAATCCTTATTGGAGTAGATCGCCAGGTCTTTTTTCCCACAGAGCTGATGGTGGGTTCAAACCACTGACCTTTCGGTTAGCAGCTGAGCGCTTAATCATTGCACCACTAGGGCTTCTTTTGGACGGAAGCTAGGCAGGCATAATAATCCAGAACCCACTCACCTTAGGGCCTTGCTGTGCTCCACGTCCTGCCTAATGAGGAAGCCCTGCTGCAGCATCTCCACAAGGGGCGAAAACATAACACCACTGACTTGTAATGGACTTACTACTATATATGGTTCAAATAAGGGTCAAAGCCTTCAAACTCCCTGCAGAAGGTCCCATGCGAGCCAATGCCATGGCCATTGCTCTCCCAAGCCCCTCTCTAGCTGCTGCCTTGTACTCACCCCTTACAGCTAAATGGTGCTGAATCGTCAGAAAAGTGTTTCATCCTAATGGACAAACTCATCTTCCTTCAAACCTAATAATATTTTTTTGTCTGAACTTATAGAAAATATTTGATGTGGGCCCTTTGAAAAGAACCTCTAGATGGCATTTCACCTTTTGCAGGGCTGGGATGTAATTGGGAAAAAAAAAAAAAAAACAATAGCCTCCAAGTCGGTTCTGACTCATGGTGACCCCACGTGTGTCAGAGTAGAACTGTACTCTATAGGGTTTTCAGTGGTTGATTTTTTTCAGAAGGAGATCACCAGGCCTTTTTTCTGAGGTGCCTCTAGGTGGCCTTGAACCTCCAACCTTTTGATTAGCAGCTGAGCATATATTAACCGTTAGCACCACCTAGAGACTCTAATAACAATAATATACAATTATTAATTACTGACAATATCTAATAATAATTGAGTGCTTATTGTTTGCCCTGGTGGCACAGTGGTTAAGTGCTACCACTGCTAACCAAAAGGTTGGCAGTTCGAATCCACCAGGCACTCCTTGGAAACTCTATGGGACAGTTCTACTCTGTCCTACAGGGTCCCTATGAGTCGGAACGGCACTCAATGGCAACGGGTTTTGGTTTTATTGTTTGCCAGGCATTAAATGTTCTACATATTAAAAAAAAAAAAATTGCCATCAAGTAGATTCCAATTGATAGCGACCCTGTAGGACAGAGTAGAACTGCCCGATAGGGTTTCCAAGGAGCGGCTGGTGCATTCAAACCACTGATCTTTTGGTTAGCAGCCATAGCCCTTAACCACTCATGTAATTCTCACAGCCGTTCTATGACATAGATGTTATTATGGTCCCCATTTTATTGATGAGGAGATTAAGGCTTGGGGAGGCTAAGTGCCTTTCCCAAGATCAGAAAAATAGAACATGGTAGAAATAAGAGTCAAAGCCAGTCTTCCTCCCTCCTGGAGCCAGCTCTCTGTAAACAACTCTGCCACCCGATCTCTCAAAATCAATGCTAATGACGTAGCAGGCTCACTTTGGGTACTCTTCCATTTCTCTCCCCCTGCCCGTCCCAAACTCTCAGCAACCCCTCCACCCAAAGGCTTATGGTAGGGGGGCAGGTAGGGCACAGCTGCCCTGCGTACCCTGGGCGCAGCTTGAGAAGGGGCACCAATGAGCAGTTCCTATTAGCCATCACAGTTTTTATCTCCAGTTTTGACAGATCATTCAGCAATTTAACACTAATTGCCCTAGGCACTACTTTCCATAGAGAAGCCCCTGCGCCCCACTCCCACCTATCCCAGTGGCTCCACTGTATCCCAAGCACAGACAATACTCAATTCTTTCATCATGCACCAAGAATGCTTTTGGCTTGACTACAGCACAGATTGGTAGTGTTTTCCTATCAAGAAAACTCCCTTCTTGGCCCCCTTACATGCTCCCACCTTAAAAATACAACACTCTTTCCCTTCCCCTGGTTTAGAAATGCTTTTGGTCAGTGGCTCCTGTCACACACCACATGCGCAGAATGGCTCTGGTGGCCAAGGGCTGGCTGGATACTGAAGAAAAGAGTGACCTCCCCTTCTAGGGCAAGGATGTTTGTTGCCTACCGATGAAGGATGGCTGGAACAGAGTCTCCGGGCAGCGGAAACGCTCATTCCCAATGGTAATCACCTGCCCATCGGGCAGCTCGTAGCTCTTCTCCAGGGAGGAGGAAGACGCTGCAGTGGCCATCTCATTTTCGAAGTCCAGAGCTACGTAGCACAGTTTCTCCTTGATGTCCCGGACAATCTCACGCTCAGCTGTCAACGAGACGTAAACATTACAGCAAACAGCAGGGTTTGCACAAGACGTAACAATTCACCTGCCCTACTTCACTCTCTCCCACAAGTTATGGTTCTTCAAAGAAGTACGTTAAGTTCAATACTCTGCGATCCAAAACCCATCACAGTAATTAAATTGTTGGTCCACTCGGGAACTACATCTGTTCCTAGCAGAGTGCCTTACACATAAAACGCAAAAAACTAAACCTGTTGCCATCGAGTTGATTCCAGCTCATAGTGATCCTATAGGACGGAATAGAACTGCCCCACAGGGTTTCCAAGGAGCGCCTGGTGGATTCCAACTGCTGACCTTCTGGTTAGCAGCCAAGCTCTTAACTACTATGCCACCAGGGCTCTGTCTTACACATAGTAAGCCCTTAAGTATTGTCTGGGAATTGCATAACAGGAATAAAATGAGTTAGCACAAAGGCACAGGGTGGGAAACCTTTTTATATAACAACTATTTTGCAGGATAACTAATTCCCCTCTGTTATAACTGCTTTATAACTGTTGTATTGGATTTTTAGCTAACCAGGAAGCCTTACGATGAATCAGCTCCACAGGGACCACACAGTTTTCAAAAAGCCTCAGAGATTTGTGTTGCCTGGCACATGCAAGTTCCAGCTCAAACCCTTGGGACATCTATCACCTTCCAGGACCATTCCTAGTCCAGAAGGTTCCAGTGGTGTATACTGGAGGAATGGAAGAAGTGGGCATGCAGATGCCTTTCAGACTTCTGCCCTCTCAAGTTCTAAGCTGTTGGCTACATCTGAGTCCCTAGGAACCTTTTGGAAGTGTCTTGGATTCTCCGTGAGGAGCAGAGGAAGGATGGAATTAATCAACTCCCTATCCCAAAAGACATTAATATCTTCAGGTAAGCCTCAGGTATGTGCAGAAATCTAAACGTTTGGACAATACCAAAATGGTGAGGGAGGGCAGACAGCTAGAGCCAAAGGCACTTAAGGACCTTCCAGTTTCTAGTAATTTCTGGCAACTGTTCTCTTGTGGAAGGTGAGTTGGTGGCACCCGCTTAGAGTCAAGACATTAACCGCTGCCCTGGGTGGTGCGAATGGTTAAGCACTTGACTACTAACTGCAAAGGCTGGTAGTTCAAACCCACCCAGTGGCACCTTGGAAGAAAGGCCTGGCAATCTACTTCTGAAAGGTCACAGCCTGAAAACCCTGTGGAGTGCATGCATTTCTATTCTGCAATGCATGGGGTTGTCATGGAGTTGGAATCAACTCCATGGCAACTGGTTTGTTTTTTTTGGGGTACTGGGTTACTATTAGTAATACCAATTATTTAATCATTAATGACTAATTAATAACACTAAGTAGTTAGTAGTATATTACTAATAGCTGATGACAATTGAATGCTCACTCTGTGCCAGGCATTTCATATGCATTATCTCATTTAAAACAACAATCATGTGAGATAGGGTCTATTATTATCTCCATTTTACAGATGAAGAGACCATGGCTTAGCAAGGCAGGGTAACTTGTTCAAGGTCACAGAGACAGTGAGTGACAGAGTTGGAACCCAGGCCCTCTCTAGCTGTCTCCAAAGACGGTCAACCATCACACCATACTGTCTTCAGTCTCTGTGCTGTCTCTTGTCTATTTGCGAATGGAAGGGATTTAAAAAGATCGAATAACACAGCTATCTCATAATACTAGACAACTGCAACTGTTCTCCTCAAGGAAATATTATACTCATTTTGCAATTTCACCTAACGAGAAAGGTTGTATTTTGCCTGCACTGCATTAGAGCCAGGCTTGCCATTCGCAAGGCTGCCATCATCTTCTTCGATAGTCGCTGCGGTCCTGTAAGTTACTGTGAAGAACACACTACCTCTGCACCCTCTGCCTTTCTCTCCCATGGGCCTCACCAGTAGTCACAAAGGAATAGCCACGCTCAGTCAGGATCTTCATGAGGTAGTCGGTGAGATCTCGGCCAGCCAGGTCCAGACGCATGATGGCATGGGGCAGGGCATAGCCCTCATAGATGGGAACGTTGTGGGTGACACCATCCCCAGAGTCCAGCACAATGCCTGAGGGACAATTGGGCATGATAAAAGTCACCACAGCAGCTGATGTGTGTTCACTTGATGGCTTAGTAGAAGGAAGCCTTGAGGGAGAGGGAATTTCTAAGCCTCTTTTTTGAAAGGGAAGAAAGAAGACATTTCATAGGTGGGCTAGGAGAGGTGGGGCAGGGCTTGGGAAAGACCAACAGAAGGAGTAGGAGGGAAAAAAGGAGGAAACCAATAGAGAAAGTCCTGCCGGAAATATATGGTCAAGGGCTTATTTTTAAAGGTGAAAAGCTCTCTTAGGACTGGTGTTAGCGCTGTCAGTTTTAACAAACTCTCAGTCCATCATAGCCCACACGTTTATAACCTTCAAATCCCATGACTAGCAGTGTATTCACTCCTCCCAGCCACCTACCAGTGGTACGTCCGGAGGCGTAGAGGGACAGCACAGCCTGAATAGCTACGTACATGGCTGGGACATTGAAGGTCTCAAACATGATCTGCAAAGCAATCCAAAGAGCTAAATTAGTGATGCTGTCAGTCTTACAAAGAATGTTCCTAGAGAGCATGCAAGTGTGCCTGCCTGGTTCTGAGCAGAGGAGACCAGAATAAAGGAGGGCCAGGGCAGCCCTTGTCACTAGGAGAGAAGAAATGGTGTGAAAGGAGAGACCATCACATGGGTGCTCTGATGGAATGAGGAAGGAAGACCTAGCTAGGGGTCACGAGGGCCTAGCTCTGGAGCTTGGCGTGGCCTTGACTGGAATGTGACCTGGGAGAATTCACTAATCGCTGACTAGTGTGGGCTTCATTCTAGGACTCTCAACTGTAAACAGAGGAGGCTGGACTACATGAACTCTGAGGCTTTTCTTGCTTGGGCAGTCTAGGACTTATTTAATTCTCTCAGCGCCCAAACAGAAAGAAAAGACAACTTCCAGATTTCAAAGAAAGAGACTTTTGAAACCTGAAGCTTGGAAGAGACCTTTGAAGTCTGAAGCTTGGACTGGTTGGACTCAGCTCCAGTTCTAATTTGTCTGAGGTTCCCTTTCACTTGTTGGACTTTTTTATGTAGCTGCTGAATCAGTGCCAGCCCTCTGAACTTTGATTTCTTCATTTATGTAACCAGGATAATAATAGTTCCTGCCTTACAAAACTGTCGTTAGGATTTGAGGACACAATGAATGTAAAATGCTTAGCCCAGTGCTTGACCATAGCAAGCGTTAAAGTTATGTTAGGAGTTATTATTTAATAGCTCATACAAACTAGGAACCTTCTCTGGCTGAGGAACTGGATGGTCTCCTGCAGTAAGGACTTTTGAGCCTCTGACAAATAATAATAATGACAATAATTATGACTATTTATTGGATGCTGACCGTATCAGGCTCCATGATACGCGTTTATCATTTTGCCTTATTAAGCGTCATATCAATCCTTTGAAAAATAATGATAGTATTATTATCACCAATTTTTAGACAAGGAAACTGAGACTCTGAGAAATTAAGTGGGCTCTTTAAGTTCCTGCTGCTTAGAATCCCCAAGTTCCTGGAGAGTGGTCAGTCCATTGGTAGATGGCTACTTTGGACTTTCTCTCTGCTGTCCTGCATTGCCCCTTTCAAGCAAGATTTTCCTCAAACCAAGAAGTACCACCATCCACCATCATTCCATAGCAGGTCCTGGGGTGGGTATTTACCTGGGTCATTTTCTCTCGATTGGCCTTGGGGTTCAGGGGCGCCTCGGTGAGCAGAGTTGGATGCTCTTCAGGGGCAACCCGAAGTTCATTGTAGAAAGAGTGGTGCCAGATCTAGCAGGGTGTGGGGGACAGAGGAGAAACACAATGATGTGGTGTCCTGGGGCACTGCAGACCCCAAAAAGGGACCAGAATGAGCTAAATGAAACGAGACCCAAGTGAAATGTTGCAAGTACTCATTATGTGTCCCCATTTTTACAGATGCAGAGACTGAAGCTCAAAGAATGTGAGTAACTTACCCAAGGATTCACATCCATTAAGTGGCTGAGCAAAACCCAAATCCCGGTCTGTGAGGCAGGATTCCATAGTGGTTAAGGGCACAGGCTCCGGAATCGATCTGGGTTCAGATACCAGCTCTGCCATTTCTTGGTTGTGTGAGCTTAGGCAAGGTTTCATCTTTTTCACCTTTAGCCTCACAATTGGTGATATGGAGATGAATATCATTAACATGTTCCTCACTGGGTTTTTGTGAGAATTAAAGATAGCCCTAGAGTTACTATTCAGCTCAGTGTCTGGCCCAGAGGAAATGTTGTAATCATTCAACTACATGTTCTTCACTGTTTCCTTGCATTTTAGTTAATATTCATAGGAAAGTGATTTAGTTTCAATAAAAGGACAAATGCATGCTTGCATGAATGAATGAATGAAGAAAACCTAATTGCCATTGTTAAAGCTTCCAGGGAAATTTCCCTCTGCAGTGTATGGCGAGAAGAGAACAGGTCTCCCTGCCTGTTGCCTCCTTCCCCCATTTGCTCTCCAGGGCTGGGAGAAGCCTGCCTCTGTTGGCCCACTCTGGAGCTTCCACTCATGGGCAGCATTTAGCCTTCAGATGTTTCCAGAAAAGCCAGCTCTCGTGTATAGTGTGGAGCCCTGGTAGCACAGAGGTTAAGAGCTCAGGCTGTTAATCGAAAGGTCGACAGTTTGAATCCACCAACCAGCTGCTCCTTGGAAACCCTATGGGGCAGTTCTACTGTGTCCTATAGGGTTGTTATGAGTCAGAAATCAACTTGAAGGCAATGGGTTTAGTTTTTGGTTTGATGTATAGTGTATTTGTGCGAATATACTTTGGACATAAGTGTTTGCTCTATGGTTGAGCACTTTCTTTAATCCCTGGATGCCAAAAAAGAACAAACCGTTGTAAAAAGGGCCAAATTAATTAATTAGTATTAAAAAGTATGAAAATTCTCCACTAGCATCAGGAATATTAGATTCATTCAGGATTAAAACCAAACAAAACAAAAAATTACCGGTGAAATTTGTGAATTAACAGAAGCAAGATCAACTTTAGAGACTCTTTATCTTGTTCCAGTTTCTTTGGTTTTGAATTTGTGGTTTTTTGAAAGGAAATGGGACTCCTCCTGAAAGTTCTGTTCCTTTGATGGAGAAAAAGCCGCGGAGTGTTCAAGAAATCCTACTAGTCGTATACACTGTGGTTACTCTGACATGATTTTACAAGCAGCCAGTCTCACTCTCCTCTCTCTCTCGCTTTCTGAACTTGACAGAACATGCTTTGAATTTAAATTTTAGAAATAATTTTTTTTTGTCGTTGTTGTTGTTCTAAGAAATTCTCTCGAGGAGCATGCATTCTGAAATGCTGCCAGCTCCCTGGAGAAACTGTGAAGAGTATTTTCCCACTGATATTAATACTTCTTCTTACTGTGCAAACTGAAGTCTTAACTAAATCCAGAATCTTGGATTAAGCCAGCCTCATGAAATTCAATTTTTGGAGGGAGACAGAGGTTTAAGCATTATTACTAGCAACATTAAGTATTTTTCCCTTCAACTGGTGTGTATTATGTGTGCGTGTGAGTGTGTGTGTGTGTGCATGTGTGTGTGTAGTGAACTGTTAGAGTAAATAGAAGGCCAGACGTTGAGGTACTTTGCTACATTTAAACCTTTTTATGTCACTTTCTCAAGTTTGGGATTTCCCTTTTATCATTATTCTTTCTACTTTTTCTCTGATCACTGGTGGTTAGATTTAACCCTCTTCCTCATTAGTTCTTTTACAGGCCTAGGCGGTAAAGAGATGCAAACAGTCAAAATGCTCCACTGCTAACCAAAAGGTCGGAGATTCGAGTCACCTAGAGGCTCCTCAGAAGGAAGGCCTGGTGATCTACTTCTGAAAAATCGGCCCTGAAAACCCTGTGGAGCACAGTTCTACTCTGACAGCACGTGGGGATGCTGTGAGTCAGAACCCACTTGAAGGCAACTGGTTTTGGGGAGATAAAGACCTCACTTAATGCAACATAGAGATAACTTTTTTAAAGGTGTCTTTTCAATTTTTGTCAGTTGCTATTGTGCTTCAGTGCCTCAAGGGACATTCAGGAATGTACTAAATTCACAATATTACAGTCCCCTTTTCTATAGCAGGGACTAAAAAAAAATTTTAAAGTATTTTTCAGAGTGAGTTCATGAAAAGCTTTCAAGAACGGATGAGAGAAAACTATTCCCACCTCCTCAGCTCCTCTTTAGCAATATTGTACTGAGAGAGAGTCAAGCAGCCTCTGATGAGACGGGAAGGAAGAATAACCCTCTGGGCTGCTGTGCATACAGCACTTGTCCTGGGAGGGTAATCCAGTTGACAGGAACAACAGATCATTACTTCCCACCACTGGCAAGGAGCTATTATTCTAATCTACAGAAATGTCTTCCTCTAATGCGCTCATATTCTCTGTTAAGCGTGGAATTTTTTTTTTTTTTAAAGAAACATTTCTGGCTTTTTTTTTTTTCAGTTAGTAAAAATAATTCAGAATAAACATTTACTCGTAAAAGTACAATTGAGCAATATGGGCCCGTTATTCTCCCCAGCAGTAACGTAATGTTTTCAATCAGGGGCCACAGGAGCTATGTGTCCTGAACGTTCAACTGCCGTGAACCCCCCAGTACCTTTTCCATGTCGTCCCAGTTGGTGATGATGCCGTGTTCTATTGGGTACTTCAAGGTCAGGATTCCTCTTTTGCTTTGTGCTTCATCACCCACGTAGCTGTCTTTTTGACCCATTCCCACCATCACCCCCTGAAAAGGTTCAACAGGTAACAAGTCAGCCTCTCCCAAAACTTGTAACTTAATTACAATCAAATCACAGAGGGTTAAACTGTTGAGCTAGAAAGCTCCTCTTTTGGTAGCAACAATAGTACAATGACAATGACACTTATTGCCACTTTGCTCTTAATCAGTATCCCTTAGTTGATTGAAAACAGTCTTGAATCTGTCTCCTGACAGTAGGGGACACTTCTCGTAATAATAGGGGACCCCGTGGGTAAGGCCACTTTCTATTTCACTTTCTGTCTTCACTTTCCTTGATGAGCTCTGTTAGGGCAAAGATGGCCATGTCTCATTTATCGCTATAGCAAATTGCCTGACACATATCTGACACTCAATAATTAATTGTTGAATGAATATAAAATTTTACATTTTAGTTGAATGACATTTTGCCTCTTATAAACCCTACCAGCTGTACTTTTAAGTTATCATCTACCCAAGAGTATATAAATATTGTTTTCTAACCATTAGAAGCAAAAGTCTACAAATGACTACTTGGTGCTTGATTGCTAATGGATTAATCCATACCAATCAGCTATTAAGACATTTGCCTAAATTAGTCAGCTGCATTTTTTTTTTTTTTAATAATCATTAAGGTAAAGCTTTAAAAAAAAAAAGGAAGGAGAAATCTTGTAGCTGGATTTTAAATTGCATCGGAGTGACTGTTTTAGAATTGCAAAACTTCTGCAGTTCATAGGGATCTATAAAATAATGCTTGTCACAAATACCCCCGTGGCACAGAGTTCAACAAAGAGACAGGTTTCATTCATTGATGGAAGCTTCTGTCATTTATTCTCGTGAACATATGCCCAACTGAGGGTTATCAACATCAGTCAGATCAGCTCAATGCACAAATTACGTTTCTGATGTGAAGGGGAATTTCTGAGGTATAATTGCCCAGTTTTTGTCATGTGGCTGTCACCAACGTTTTGTTTATACTATAACATTAGGTAAAATTACCATGTGGCTGTCCAGATACATTTTTTGATAGGTTATATTATGAAAAATTACATTTGGTAACAATGCTTACTTTGACCTAGCATTAAGCTCTATGAAGATGAGGGATCTGAGGTTTTATCTTAGGTTTTTTCCAAAGAGCAGCTATGGTATATATCACAGTAACTCATAAGGATTTCTGATGATGGTGATAAAGACAATGATTATATTAAACAAAAAGGACATATGAAAAACGGGCAGACTCTATATTGAATAGACATCTGCCAGGCAACATGTCTACATTATATATGAAACTGGCACCTATTCCTGGACATCGATTCCTGAAAGTGCGTTTTTAACGAGGTTACAGGATACCCATGGACATGAAGGGGCCTAATCTATAGCCCTGTTCCCTCTGTTCCATCAGAATGCTGCTCACCTGATGTCTAGGACGGCCCACAATGGATGGGAAAACAGCCCTGGGAGCATCATCCCCAGCGAAGCCGGCCTTACAGAGCCCAGAGCCATTGTCACACACCAGGGCGGTGCTGTCCTCTTCTTCACACATCTTCGGCTGGAGCTACTTCACACGATCCTACAGGCAACAGGAGGAAGCCAGCCCAGCTATAATTCAGCAGCTGTGGCATTTACCTGACCACTCCTACCCTTCTGGGCTGGGTTGGGATCCCTCTTCTGTTCTTCTCTGCTGGCCCTTATCTAACACTGCATTTACCATATTTTAAAGCAAACAATGTTGCTGTAAAAAAATTAGCATACAAAAATACCTGGGGTGGGGGGAGGGCACGGCTGGTGAAGAAATGTAGAAGGCACTCGTTATTTGCCTAAAAATATGGTACCTCAAGGTATTTTAATTTAATCTCCCGTGTAGGTGACCTGGTGTCAATTCTCTGCCAATACACCTCAAGTTCAGCTGCCACCTTTCTGTCAGTGGAAGTTAGCATATTGTTATGATGCTGAACAGGTTTTAGGGGAGCTTCCAGACTAAGACAGACTAGGAAGAAAGGCCTGGCAATCTACTGAAAATCAGCCAGTGAAAACTCTACGGATTGCAATGGTCCAATACACAACTGATCATGTGGACAGCAGAGGACCTGGTGCAGGACCAAGCAGAGTTTTTTTCTGTTGTGCATGGGGTCACCATGAGTCAGGGGCCAGGTTGATGGCAGCTAACAGCAATTTTAATTAGATTGTAAGCTTCTTATAAGCAGAAAGTCTGACTTCCATGTTCATAGGACTGACCCCTAGCACAGTGGCTGGCACATCGAACATGCTCAATAAACACTCAAAAATGCACTGAGCGAGCAAACGAATGAAGAAACTTCAGAATGCAGATGCAAACCCCAGAGCTTCACAGGGCAAGCCGGTTGCCATTTGTTAAAGAAGTATCTAGAATTTGCTGTCTGTATCAACCCAAAATCACATTTTTCTAGGTAGAACTTTAATTTTTTATTTCCAAAAGCTAGATGTTGAGAGATGGGAAACATGAAAATTTGGAAATATCAAAAATGTTTAATGTAAAATGTTTAAAAGAAAAATATCTTTTGGATCCGGGGGACTCATATTTAACCTTCAGAAAAAGATTCAATACTTTCTAAAAATGCACTTTAAGTTTTGGGAGCCATAACTATTCTCCATTAATGAAAGTTACTATTTAAACAACCTAAGAGTCTAGCTATGAGGGTGAATCCTACAGATTATGTATCCTGTACTAGCATACTGTGATGCAATCAAGAAGGATAAGGAAAAATAAGCTAAAGATGTATTCTTTTCTAAAAAATAGTAGGTTAGAGAAAGTATACACTGTATGATCCAGTTAAAGAATATATTTATATGCACTGCAAAAGATTATTTTTTCCAAGATGTTGACTGGGGTTATCTTGAAGTGGTGGATTTTATAGGTGTTTTAACTTTTCTTCCTTAGGTTTCCAAATGTTTTCCAAATTTTCCCAAATGAGCATGTAGCCCTTTGGTAATAAAACAATATTTTAAATAGCCGCTCTTAAGCTTGGATGCTTTAAGAAAATTTGAAAGGCTGGAGGACAAGTATCGATTTATTGATTTGGGAAATAGAAAGCCTACTAAAGAACGTTTGCATCCAATGCCCTCATTTTTACAAATAAGAAAACCCAGGGAGAATCTTGCTCAGAGTCACAGGGGATGTTAGAAGCAGAACTCAAATGAGAGATCAGGTCCGCTTGACTGCAAGGTGCCTCTTGGCTTCCAATCCAGGACTTTTTCCATCTTTCCAAGCAGAATTAGGGGGAAACAGCCCATAAAGGGAGCCCTGGCAGCACAGTGGTTAAAAGCTTGGCTGCTAACCAAAAGGTCAGCAGTTTGAATCCACCAGCCACTCCTTCAAAACCCTCTGGGGCAGTTCTGCTCTGTCCTATAGGGTCACTAGAGTCAGAATCAACTTGACGGCAATTTTTTTTTTTTTTTTTTTTTTTTGCCCATAAAGAGAGAAAGACAGAGAGTTGTCTGCCTGGCATTGAGATCTTGGTTAGGATTTCAAGTTGAGGAAGATTCTTTTCTTTAAAATTGGTGAGCTCATTGCACACCCAGACTTCAGTGTAAAAGGTAACTCCTTTAAAGAAATTTCTGAGAAGTAAGAAAACAAGCCATTACAGTTGGATTTCTACCAGACTGTTCCCACAAAGTCAAGGCTGTGTTTTTCCAAATGCCTAGACCTGCCACAGCAGTGCCTCGTAGTGCATAATCCTTTGCAGAGAACGTGAACCTTGCAGGAGATAATGCATTTAAAACTCCAGGCATGTAATATTATTTCCAATTGACAGATGAGGAAACTGAGGCTCAAGGAGTTGAAGTGACTTATGCAAGGTTTCCAAAACTGGCCAAGATAGGACAAGGGAGATTACAGAGGACAGTGATTATGAGCTTGGACTCTAAAGTCAGACTGCCTGGATTGGAATCCGGACTCCACCACTTACAAGTTGTGTGACTTAGAAGGTCATTTAACATCTCGAAATATCTTCCTTATCTATAAACTAGCAGTAATAGTTATACATACCTCATACGGTTCTTCTAGGGATTCAATTTTTTAAAAGAAGGAAAAAACAGTTCATGTGGCTTACACATTATGAGCACTCAAATGTTAATCTCATTATTATTACATAATTATTTTCATTATCCATATTTTTTAAATTTCTAGTCCTTTGCTTTCTTTAGACATTGCCTCCACGCTTAGAATGGAAATTCTCAACTTGTACAAGAATAGAAAACAGGACTTATAAATGGCTGGCCCTTTCCTTTCGCACCCTTCCCAGGCACTGAATTATACTCAGCAGTCATGTGATTTGCCTTCCTTCCTAGTAGACTAAGAAGCTAGAAGAGAGGTGAGAACTGTCAGGGAGACAAGACAGAAGAAGCGATAGGAGACCAGGGTATTTGCAGGCGGCAGCCAGCACCAAAGAATTCAGCAGGCTATCTGTCAATGTACTGAGCATGCTTTCTAAACCAAAAATAAGGGCTAAAAACAGGATAAAATATTTGGAATTAGGATGGTCTCTGAAAATGGGGAGGTATGGTGGTGCAGTGGTTAAGGGCTTCGCTGCTAACTGAAATGTCGGCTGTTCGGACCCACCAGCAGCTCCTCGGGAGAAAGATGTGACAGTCTGCTTCCATAAAGATTACAGCCGGAAATCCTGTGGGGCTGCTCTACTCTGTCCTATGAATACAGGGATTTCCTTAATAGCCAGTGTGTTGGCTAGGGAGGATTTGGGGAGAAGGTTTGAGTATACTGCAGTATGACGTCAGCATCAGCAAGTCTGTCAAGAAATCTCAGAATTGAATAAATGTACTTTTATTTGGTCAAAAATGTCCAGGAGGAATTGTATAATCCCTAAAGCAAGCTTGATGTTAGAGAAATCTTTGTGTCCCTGGAAAGGAGCTGCCCCAGTGGCTTACAACTCTTATCTGATCTGAATGAGTAGCTTGGTTTGGAGCAGAGCATTTCCTAATTAGGTAAAACATGCTAGAATGTCTGCTTTTGGAACTTCACCCGGGTCAGAGGGTTTGCTCCAACTGACTACAGCACATCTTGTGCCAAAAATGAGTAGTTAGTGGGAAGGGGGGGAGGGAAAGAACGTTAGAATTCCCAGCTCGTTATTCTTGAAACGCTAACCATATTTAGTCATGAATCACAAAATGAAAGGAAAATCTCAGCATGAAAACTCCAGCCCTGGCTGAAACTGCTAAGCCCTGGTTTAGAGGTCAGGACTGGCTCCACGGTCACGCTTGCATCTCCAGGCTGAGAAGAACTTTAAAAGGCTGAGGGAAATGCAAACCAGACATCCTGTAGGCTGAGCCACACACAGCTGTCAGATGTGCACGCTGTGCCCTCCCTCTGTCTTTGCAGGGAAAGATGCAGTTGGTTGCCTGCCGCACTGTGCAGCAAATGATGCGCAGCTCTGAAGTGTAAGCTAACAGTCACACTCAAGAGACACACCCTTCCAACGTAAGGCTCTACCAACTAGAGCCAGAAGAACCCAGAAGCAAATACACAAATTCAGCCAAAATCAAAGACGAGGCAACTACCCTTCTGTTCACTTCCCAAATCCACTTCCAGATATCAAAACTCCAGTCCAATGAAAACCCGCCACACCAGATCTGAACCACAAACAAATCTGAGTTCTTAGTGCCTAAATATAAGTAAATGTTATCACCTATGGCAAACAGGTAGGCTGCACACCTGTAAGGGCTGCTAAATTTGATTTAGTATAAACAGATTTCACAGGTGACGTGCATACAGGAAATTTCATTCCATCTTCCCTTCCACCTCCTCCCCTATACCAAGCTGCATATTACTCTTGTGATTAAAAGTTAAATAGAGCTAAAAGCTAAAATTGGTTTAGTAGTATAATCTTCAAGCAAAAACATCAGCATGCATGAGTCCAGCGAAACCCCTGCAGACAGTGTCTGGTTATCCTGAGTAATAAAAGAACAGCTGGAATTATAAGTCACGTCCCTGGGATGGTGCCACTTACCCTGACAGTGCTCAGCCGGGCTTCTCCGCTCTGGGTGTTGGTCAGGGAAGCTGAAAGCTGAAGGGTTATATAGCCCCTTGGTCTGTTCCCCTCCCACTTGCTTCCCAAACAAGGAACAAAGACAGACTGGAGCCTGTCTTTCAGTCCAACACAACCATATAGGGACCTTAGCACAAAACTCTCTAATCTGGGTGGCCGGAGGCCTGGGTCTCTTCCACTGCATTCCACTGCTCTGCTCATGCAACGAGAGGCAGCTCAGCTGCCTGTGGGAGATAAACACCCCAAGTCTTCGGAACAACTGCTGAAATGCCCAGAGATACTAAGCTAGTGTGATGGGGCAGATGCAGACAAGATCTGCACATTCCTTAAAAGATGCCAGTCTGCTGTCATGCTGGCATTTCCCAGTGACCCGAGGGCAGAAAGTGGCTGCCTCTGAGGAGTAGGGACTTTTTAAACTCTCCTACAAAGTCGATCTGCAATGAAAAAAGCAATTGCCTTGATTGTCCGTAGATATACACACGGAGTGCCAATTTTGTAGTAGTTACTCTGTGTTTATAGATTGAGTCCACGAATGGTGTTAATGGAAATAGGAATTGAAGTAGAAACAGAGTGTGATGGTCCACATTTCACAAAGAGGAACTGAGAAGTCAGCATTACCATAACCACTGTAATCCTTCGGTACCTTAAATATGTCTACCGATGGGTCACTGAACAATTCAACATCATGATTAGGGGACGTGCTTTGACCAAAAGAACACCTGGCACCCAGCCATAGAGAGAAAAGAGGGTGTCCAAAGGCAGCCTCTCTAGTCCAACTCTTTCCCCACTAACCCATTTGACAGGTAATAGACAAGGTGACCCAGGCACCTCTCAAAGATAGGCAGAGAATGAACAATAATCTGGCCTTAAGTTCTCCCTCCCTAGGGTCACTGGATAACTTCAATGGTGTTACATTTGTCTACTCACCTCTTTCCAAGATAAAGTTCTAGCTAAATTCATGATAGAACTATTTTTGATGAATACCGTAAGTATTTCTGGACTGCTGACATGTGAGAAAATCTCAGAATGAATGGCTTTATTTTACAGCTGTCGCCAGCTATTCACTCATTTAACTGCCTCTGATCTGTTTGATGTATACTATATACACATACACATGTTTGTCATTGAGGAGTTGCACTATTGATCATTAGGAACATTTTAAAATGGTTTAAGACCAAATCTTAATAGGATTTCTCAGGGATTTGTCAATTGTATCTAGTTTCTATCAACCAGAAAACAGAACTGTCTGAATGTTTATCAAGAGTACACAGTACAATATAGTGTTGGGCATTTGGGATTTATACAATGGCTTTCATCACAGGGACAGGTGCGGATTACTCAGTCGGCAAGGTAAGCACGGTGCTTACTTTGCTTACCAGATCATCTGTAGTTAACAGTTTCACATTTTTTCACCGCATCAAAGATTCTCCTTCTAGGTGTGGCTGGCATCTCTCTCTCTCCCAACTCCACAGCACCTTCCTACAGAATCAAAGCCTCTTTTCAAATTTACAGTCCCTCACAGGGGTAGATGATCCAATAAGCACAGGTAAGCATGGGCTTATCTGTGCTTACTTACTAATCTGTAGTGAACAGTTTCACATGTGTTGGTGAAAAACATGTGAAATTGCTCACTACAGATTAGTAAGTAGGCACAAGTAAGCCCCTACTTACCTTGCTTATCAGGTAATCCATCCCTGCACAGGAATAACGAGAAACAAAAATTCTGTATTTTCTTGATTAGGGTTTAAGTAGAAGCTGGATCTCTCCCTCCTCCTACTTTTATCTAAAGCCATGTCTGTGCAGTCCTTGGTAGCTTTATAAAATGAACAGTCCTTTAAAAACCAAAGAGAAGAGTTGTTGGTACTCATCTTTACTATCTTACATTGTTTTCTGCCTTAATCATAGTAGTGTACATCCATAGCCCTGATGGTAATCAGACTATGATAATATAAACAGGCATACAAGACGAGAACTCAGGTTTAGCTTCTCTTACAAGGTTTTTTTTTTTTTTTTCCTTTTCGTCTATGACATTAACCAGAGAAGAGTTGTCACTGAAAATGAATTTCTGAGCAAGTGATTACAAGGTCTCACTGTCTGGGTTCTCGATTTATACTTCCATGTACCATCCAAGTCTCTTCAGTGAGAGAAAGCAGTGCTGGATGAGAATGTGTGTGTACAAAGAAATCTACAGTCAAGTGGCCAGATATCTCTTGGTGCTGTCTGCTATGTATCCAAGGAATTACGGAGCAATAAAAAACGGTAGTGTTTGATGGCTTGGTTGCAGTTCACGGAAACTATAAAATA